AGGGCTGAAGCGAGCGGCTTGATGTGAGCCGGGCGAGGGTGTTTTCCCCGCCGTTTGCAGGCAGAGCGGAAAGTTATACCTGATAATGTGGATCCGGCCAAGGCTTGCCATGGCCACTGGGTTCGCGGCTGAGACGCAGCGGTTCCTCAGGCACCCGTTCGCCCTCCTGTTACCTGCTGCCTTCGCCTGCTTGGCGTCGGCAGGAGACCAGCTCAGAAAACACACTGCTCGCCCTTTTTCTCTAGAAACAACACCGATCACTGATTGTTAAAGCAATAGTTTTTGGGTCAGTTCCGTAAAATAGGCTTTATGTATAAGGTTATAATACTAGAGCAGTTGTTTGAGGCAGTATGTATTTTACAGTGCTCTTTCACAAATGAGGAAAACCAAGCCAAAATGGAAGTTCTTTTTAATAACTTTGTTGTGCTGCTTCTCTGTTAAATTAACACTGTATATGATATGTATATGTGTATTTCAAATATATTCTCTCTAGATGTGTATTATGGAACTGAACTGTGGTTTGAATTTAGCAAGGGATAGCAGAAATAAACTGTGCTAAATTAATAAAATAAAAGTTTATGGGGAGAATTCTGCAGCCAGTGTTTTTTTCATGAGGTAGAAAAGTACACACGCACATTACGTCTGGTATATCCAGGCTGAACAAGTAAGTTTGCTTTTGCAAGTCATTATACTTGGAGAAGTAAACTGAAGGTAAAATTGTCTCCTAAAGTTTGTATATGGATTTCCTATTTTTAAAATAAAGTTTCTCTGTATTACAATTTTATGTGTTCCTGATTTTGTAGATTTTGCAAATGCAGGATTTTCTTAGGTGGCTTAACACACTTATTTTATACTGAAACCAGAGAATACAGATCTGCTTAAAAGATAAGGGAAACCATGAAGTGATTCTTTTAAATAGCACAAACTTGTAGAAAATACTTTCATTGCTGACTACTTGTTTCTACAGTAAGTTTTTGTTTAGGAAGGTATTTTCCTATGATAATGTTGTATATAAGAAACATACACACTTGCCCTAAGTAGTATAAGTGTCTCTGACAAAAAAAGGAAAAAAGTTAGGTATTAAGGTTTTTTATTCTTCTTGCTGAGACCAGTTTTGTATATTTGCCCTTCAGTTCCATGAGTTTGCCAAGACTTGTGGTAAAATCCTATGAAGCTTGGAATATTTATGCTGACTCCTGGAGCTCCTGTCCAATCGGAATACTGATTTTCAGTGCAAGTTTTTCTTGTGTGATACGCCTTAACGTTACATCTGTCATCTGGTTTGTTTCTCCAGTTTGCGATGTCTGGATCATATGTGGAAAACATGATTTTAGAACTTGTCACTAAACTTCCTTAGGTTTAATTCTTTTCAGTAAACCCTCTGCCCCATCACTATAGTAGTGTTTCTAGCTGTTTTAATGTTTCTTGACTAAATTACAGGCCTGTTTCTGAGCACAGAGGGTGCCAGTGCTTTTAAAAACAAAATATGTTGTATCCTGTTGTGGAGTAATACAAAATTTACATTTTGTGGGAACTTGGTTGTCAGTGCCTGCCAGATGCATTTATTCAACATGTGTGTGGTTGCTCCCAAAGCTTGTAAGCCATAGCAGCTAGAGGAGAAGACAAGTTCCAGCATGCTGTATCAAATAAACCTGATTGTTTAATAGATCAAGACATTTTTATACAAATATGTAGAGCATTGGTGCTTGACAGTTGCTGCTCTACTTTGTGGTTTAGGTTATTTACACATTGGCACTGCACTTAAGTAATGTCACACACCAGATGGTAAAAATCGGAGCTTCCTTACGTATTTTAGATTTCCACTGAAGTCCTTTTTGGCTGTGTTGATTGTCTGGGAATATATAGACTATTTGGAAAGTTTGAGAAGACAGAGAAGGCGGTGGAAACATAGAGATGACTGAAGAATGCTTAGTTGTAAAGAGAATTTTAAATGCTCTTTGGGACATAATGATCACATGTAGCAACATAACATAGAAACAAACCGAGAATTTGAAGTAAAATATTGTTAATTCTGTATCACACAATGTGTGTGCTGAGATGATATCAGTACAGAGATATAAAACGATAGTTCAGTTCGTTGGAGCCTGCTCATCAATAGCACTTTAGCTGTGTTGTCATTTGTCTACATAAGATAAATGTGTTTATTTTAGTGATGTTGTGGAAAAGATACACTCAGAGGCAAAAAATTAATAAAACTGGACATTCAGAGTATGTGGACAGTATGCTCCTTTAAGTAGTGTGTAAATTAGTATGTTTGAATATCTTCCAAATGCAGATTATTGAAAGGTTTGTATTAATGCCTGGGGAGAAGCAGGCTGTGATTCAGTATTGGTATTTGGGGTCTAGAATTGTTCCTTCATATTGAACCATGTTTAACTACAGCTATATGGGTCGAACTGTCAAACCACCAAGAATAATCTTGTGGCTGTTAACAGCCGCCATAAAATCCCTAACTAGTTCAGTTATCTTTGTGGGGATTTATGCTGCCAGTTGATGTAAAGGAGCTAGCAGTATACTGCTGTCAATTCTGTCTATCTGAGCCTCTTATTAATTCTGAGGTAAACTGTGAACATAATAAATATCTGGGTTTTTTTCTCCTTTTGTTCCTGCTACATCAGTTGCTTACCAAATTGTGCTTCTGTTAGTTTGGTGGTGTTAGCCAAGTGTGGGAAGATTTAAACGGCAAGAGCTTGGCCAAGAATGAAACACATGTTTTCTGAGTGAAAATAACACTAGGTGTAGTAAAGGTTGGTTTACAAATGTTAGTTGTCTAAACTTGAAGTCTTACAATAGGATGTGTAGAACACTAACCTTAATCAGCTTACTGGCTAATAGTAAATTACATTTTTTGTCTTTTAAAGGAAATTCGACATATGTCCAGTGACTACCCTCATAGAGTTGCAAAATATCCAGAGAACAGAAATCGAAACAGATACAGAGATGTTAGTCCATGTAAGTATTTTTCTGTAAATATTGCAGTAAACTTTCTAGACTTTTTACTTACCCAGTTTACTTTTAAACACCATAGCTAATAAATCACGGTCACTGTATCTTTTGTATTTTGTTTATTTCTGTAGGCGTGTATCCCATGAGAAATGTGTTTTTTGTAACGCGTACACAGATGCATATAACGGAAGGGAGAAAAGTCTGCTGGTTAAACTCATTGTGCTGAATGGTGAATGAGAGATGATTGCAAATCATAGTTATTAGTATATAGGTAAATGTTTGTAAGTTGCAAAGTAACAGTTTAAAGATATTTTTCTCATAGGAAATTAATTGTTTAATATTGCTTTATATGTCAAAAAAATAAACATCTGCTGAGCACAGAAATTAAGTTAATAAGCCTTGACTAACACAGTTTCCTTTTGGGCTAGGTGATTCTGCACATTTACAAGATTGTGTAGATGAGTGCCACTGAATTCCTACTGTTGCTTTAAAAATACTTGAGATTTTGTTATTTTTGTCTGTTCTGAAGAATGTATGCATAGAGTTGTTTAATTTTCTCAATGCAAGTATATATGGTATGGAGTGCTAACTGCCATAAAATGGTCTTTGTGACATAATGATTTTATATCTCAGGTGAAGACAGCTTTTTTTTTTTTTTTTTACCAGCTTCCTTGCTACTGAAGTGTTGTGGACTTTTTTCAACAGCGTGTACTTTAGAAACTGTACTCCAAAATCGATATAAAAAGACATGTGAGCGAAACATTACTAGTATTACCAATAGCTGGAGGAATCTATCATAAATAATTTTCAAATGGACTAGGAAAAAAAAAAAAATCAGTACGGCCTTAATTTTTCTACAAAATATTGAATTTGGAACAGGTTAAATGTTTGTGTGTTCTTTAGCATGAAGTTTCCCAGAGCACCAAAGGCTCAGAAAAGCCTTCTTGTTACTGGATAAAGAACTTTTGAAGGGTTGCTGGTGTAGTGGGGCTTTTTGTTTGAGAGCCTAATCTGAATACCTATTGCAAGATTTGGAGAAGTGCTGAACTCCTTGTTTCCAGTTGAAAGTTGTGGTAACAGCACTTCTCAAAATTACACGGAAAGGGTCTCGGATTGAGTCATGCTGGTCAGATGCAGCACTGCGTGCTGCTCATTAGACTGCTGCCAGACTGCTAACTTGCACAGTGTATTCGCACCAAACGGATCCAGTCTGGCTTAATGCTGAGTCTCAGTACTGCACTCTGATGAAAATGAACTTCAGAGTTCAGTGCACAGCCTCTTTGCTGCGTCTGCCTGGCATTCCCCAGTATCATCTGTTTGAGAAATGTACAGCTCTGAAGAAGATACCTCGAGTTAGTCAAGGCTTACTAACTGTATGCTCAGCAAAGGGGGATAGGCCTCTGCTGGACCTTTGCTGATCTGTGCAGAGGTACTTACGTATCCCAGCTTTGCTGTCCTTTTACAGCACAGCATTAGTATCTTGCCAGTGGTAAACTAGATCATGTTTTATTCACTTTCTGTTTCATACCTAAATTGGGATGGGGTTTGTGAGAAGAGAAGGCAGGAAATTGGATTTGAACCCATGAGACCCAAGTTCTATTCCTGGGTCCGATATCTTATACAACTTCTGTGGCAGAAGCTGTGTTCGTGCATTTACCATTTCTCCCATCCATGTATTTCATTTCTTGGGCACTACTGCAGCTATCGAATTGCAGCTTACCTTCAACATACTTGTAGTTTTTCTCTCTTTTTAAAAAGAGTGTTTCTAAAATAAATAAATAAAAAAGTCATTGTCTTATTTAATTAGCATCTAATAATGCCTGTGATAATATCTTAGAGGTGTGAGTTGTATTCCGCTCTTGTAGTTTTTTTGGAGCTCAAGATTTTCCTTAATCGTGGCATGCCTTTTACCATAGTGAAGAGCACTAAACACCTCTGTGTGGTCGTATAATCAATTATGTGATTATATTAATGCCTGGAGGCTGTGCAGGAGCAGTTAGACAAAATGTAGTCTTGAAGTAGTAGTTGGGTTCAGGAAAGGGTTAGAGTCATTACATGCTAGTTGACATGAAGTATGACATGATGACTGAACTGAGATGGTGAACATTGAGGCATGTCTCAGTTGTTAGCATTTATAAAAGAAAGAAGGTTTGAATCGGGCCACCAAGGTAGCCTGCAGAACTGGGCATTAGGAGCAAGGCTGTATGAGGAGAACAGCGCAAAACACTGTGTTTGAACTAATTCCTGTTGAATTTTATGTCTCTGTGTTTTCAAATATGACTCGTAATTGTATCTGTAACAATGGTGAGAGCTGGGAGGAGAAGGCGGCCTCAAAGGGAATATATGATAAATAGCATTCCAAGATAGCAGTACCTAAATTTCAAAGCAACTGGGGTAAAAGCTGTGCAGTTTGGTTATTGTGGTGAACACATCTGTGGTGCATGTATGCAAGGAACTGGTATTGCAGAAATGCAAGACAACTCAGTCTTACACAATCTTAACATCTCAGTTCTTCACTTTTCAAATTTTACTGCTTTTTACCAGCGTGTAAACAAAAAACGGGTGATAATACTAATATTCTCTGATAGTTAAAGGCCTTCCGAACTAGCAGTTAAACTTTTAAGATCTAGCTCCTTAAACATATTGTAAGACATAAGACATAATTTGATGAAAATGTTTTATTTCTCCATAGCAGTGAGAAAATGGTTTGTTAATCTAGAGAGCGGCCAAGCCAGTATAAAATCTGAGGCGGTATGTCTGCAAGAGGAAATGCAAGGATTATTCTGTTTTATGGAAAAGATTTAAATTACAAGTGCAGGAAAAAATGCTTTGGATTGGTTTGCCCCATTTAAACCATAATACACAGGACATGTACACTGAAATCAACTTGTGTCCATTACATAGATTTCTAGGTAAAAGTTGACCTATGTTCGCTGGGAAAGGCTAATCATCTTTCCCCATTACAGTTGAGTTTCAGATTGTCTCCAGTTTCATAAATATTTTTGCTAGTGTCCAGTTTTGTTGGCTAAAGAGCTATGGTGTGTATAAGTTTGGTTGGGTAAAAGCCCTCAGGAGTTACCGCCTAGCCAAAAAAAATATCAGTCTAGCAGTTTGGTATTATTCTAGAATAAGGAGAGGAATATTTTGGCCATGTAGTACTATTGAAACAGGAAGTTAATCTGAAATAGGTTTGGTTTGACAGCCAGTCATTTCCTGACAGATGAAACCATTTCTCAGAAAACATTGTTAAGAGGAAAATAACTTGTGAGGTTATTATGCTTTATTGATAACTTTAATGAAACTCTAAGATTTCTGTTACTACTTTCCTTCTAAATCTTATCCTTAGTTGATATCAGAGGAGTCTAGTGTCTCAGATTGACTGTAAACACCTTTAGAGATCTGCTTACTGTGTTCCCAGATTTAAAGTCAAGAAGGAAATCCCCTTGGCAAAATTGGTAGGATTTTTTTTTTTCCCGCTTTTGCTTTTGGAGGGTAGATGGGGGTTTACGCAGTTTTATCTTTAGCCTTCCTTTGTAATGTGGGGTGTAGCCCAATATCTTAGGTCATCTGAACGTTTTCGCTTGATAGATCATGTTGCTTGGAGGATCTCGAGAGGCAGTGATTTCTCTTGTTTTCTTCCTGTGGCCGGTAGTAGACTTTGCGCTGGACCTTTCAACTATTGGCTTACGGTTCTTATAGAGTATGTACCAGGGAGAGAGGAACGTGAAGTCTATTGTGCTTTACAAGGAATGGAGTTGGAGCTGATGTGGATGGTTTTGCACGTAGTGCTGATTAATTATCATTGCAAAAATGTTCCCTTTCTGTCCTGTGATGAAAGTGCATGTGCTGAGAACAGGGAGATGTTCTGTTCAAAATAAGCCTAGTGCATTTCTTGTTGTCCATATTAGAAGTTGACATTGATGATTTTTATTACGTTATCTAATGATTCTCTAAAGCATCTTGTTACCAGAATCCATGGTACAAATAAACTCAACATGCTGCTTTTGGAGATACTTTTTTCTTTGGGGTTGGGGAAGAATTTTATAGCACATACTGATTTAAACTTTATTGTATCTTAATTTTTTTTCACAGTCCTGCTTAAAAGTGTAAGGATCCTGTGCAGTAGTTATGCATATGTTTCAGTATGAATACATTTCAGTTATGAGCTAGGCCATGATTGATATCATGGCGTTCACTGCGTACAACCAGTGGCAGGGTGGGGGAAAAGTCACTTTGCCTTTCCTTTGCCTTAGGCTACCTCTGAAACTTGAGACTGTAAGTCTAGTGACAAAGTATGGTAATTTGAATAATTTAGTAGCTCAGATAGACTAGATTTAGATTAGTGAAATGAAGAGGATTTGCTGGTAGGCGGAAAAGGGTCAGACTGGGTCATTAGGATGGCTTATGGCTACATGTTTTATTTATGACTTTCTTTAATCCACTAAGTAGCATTTCACCCTCCTTTGCTGTTAATAGCTCTGTATTTGGGGAACAGAGACATATCTTGGGTAAAAGATAATTTTTAAGTTATACAGTGATTTAACTTCTAGAAGCAGTTGTTTTCAAATAAAAACCTTTCATAAACCAACTGCAAGAACTCTGTGATGTAAAATGTCAAACGTTTCATATCTCGGTTTTAACTGGGTATGTCATTTTCTTTTTTAGCAGGGAGTGGGCAAATTGATGTGTAATGTGGAGTCTTGGCCTTATCTGAGACATGGGGAGTGTTGTCAGTGATATCAGTGGGACAGGGTTTTGCTTGAAGTGGGTAATAACAGTTTGCTTATCTGAGACAGGGTTGTTCTGGGAGTAGTTTTCTTGTGCAGGAGCCAGAATGAGAAGCATTTTTAAGGTTTCCACTTCCTTTTTGGGTTGTATAGTTTGTTGAAATAGGGGAATTAGCACTTCAGAAAATGAGTACTATATTTTAGCTGTTGTGGGCATGGAAACATTTAAGATAAATCTTTAAGATAAGATTTAAGATAGGTTTATCATTCATATAAATCTAAAGTATTTTGTAACTGGAAATGATTTACATATGGGAAATATGTTACAACTAACTCACTGTCAAAAGTTGGCTTGCTTCATTTAATTCAGAAGAGCAAGCCAGGGCTTGAATGAGGTTTCTAGGTCATTGTGTCCTTCAGGAACCGTTTTCCCTTGAAAGAAGGGAAATCAATATATTCTAGTGGCTTTCTTTGTCCTGTGGAGTGTATTGCCAGTGTATTTGTGGGATCGCCTCTGTTTTAGTTGGGGAGGAGGAGGGAGGCTGTCTGTGCATAGAATTAGTCGTAAAAGGAGCTTTTAGAAAAATTTTCAGATTTTTATTTGTCATGTTTACAAAGTAAAATTTATAAGAAGGGTAAAATAAGCCTGAAAATGTGTGTAATGATTACATTGGGAAACCTCATTAGGGCCTCCGCAGTTATCTCCTACTGGCAGCAATACAGCAGCTGCCGCTGGGTGATTAAACTGTTAACAGTGCTTGCTTACGTCATCTTTCCGAGAACACTAGTACCGGTATGTGTGATTTACTATAACAAGATCTTAAGTTTTTCCTGTTGGCAAATGACATGTAATATTTACAAAGGTCTTGGTTTCTCTCCAGTAGAAACATTTCAGATAAAGTGATACATGAAAGGAAAAAGTAACACTTTCCTATCCAGACAAAATAATACAAGGAGATATATTTTACTTTAAAATGCACATATCTTACTTTTACTGTCGCTTAGCTTTGGTAATATTTTTGTCTTCATACGGATGTTTTAATACTCCTGAAAGTCAAGGTGGTGTTGCCTTACAGCTGGAATTCTAATGAAAACAGACTAAACCAGTAACTTTCTCATACTTTTGTATTAAAAATAGTTTTCTAGCATATTTCTGTTCTCTGCACATTTATATGTGACTGCATATAAAAACTAGCAGCCAAAGGAGGTGGGATAATAACCCTAAATCTCAGTCCTTCAGGGGAAAAAAAAAAAAAAGTAGTAATCTACTGTTGACTTCTTTCCTTGAATCCAGCAAGATCGTCTTTGACTGTTGCCAATAGTAGATAGATGAGGGAGAGCGTAAAAGGAGATCAAGACCTAGTAAATGTACTTTTCCCAGGTTCCAGACATATGGGAGGTATTTATATGAGCGGTCCATAGAACAAGAGTCCATCAACTTTTTGCCTATCTGGGGTCATATTCATTAATGTCTTAGATAAGCCTTGTGCTGTATAGACTGGCTGTGATACGGGGACTTAATCTGAGTTCAGCTGTCATAGCTGCACAGGATGTGATACTTGGTAGTTGCTCATGTCAAAACTCATGGATTTTGTACATTTCTCAAGATGTTTGTCAAAAGGAAGTTAGCCTTTTGGTGCAGGGATGGGAGATGGAAAAGTAAGCTGACATTTTAAGAGCAGCTGTGCCATCAGTCTGTACCCCAAATGAGTTTTGTGGGTTAGACCAGGTGAACGTTGGTTAAAAACTGGCATTGTGACATTATTCACTCTCAGCTCTGTTGGTTTCTTTATGGACTTTCTTCCTGAAATGTGTTGAAGTCTCTTAAACTCAATTTAGTTTGCCGTTTTTTAATTACTCTTCCCATAACAGTCTGTCTAGGCAGTTGAGCTTCAGGGGGCTTGCAGTCACTTGGGTCTCATTTCCTGGCATGCAGTTGTGTACAAATTTTAAGCCAAAAATGCTGTTTATTTAATACAGTTCTAATAAATGTCAGAAGGATTACCTACTGTGAACAAGTCTGATTACCTAAGTGTCTCCTAGAGGGTGATAAATCAGATACTAAAAGGTTTTAGGAACAGCAACAGTGACTTTTTATTATGCAGTGTTTTAGTATGACAGTCTGATAATCTTTCTCATATTAATGTTAGAATTTTAAATGGAGTCCTTTGCTTGTGTCTGGCATAAATAGGGGCATCTTCTGTCTTGCCTGTGCAATCATGAGAGACTGAAGCTGTGTAATTAGATTAGGCTTCATTTAATTGGAAGATTTGTTAAATAGATACATTTTTGCATGTGGCCTTTCTTTAATATTTTTATTTTGTGTAGTATCAAACAATAAATTACAGGGAAAATTAAATTGATCAAGGCTTGGTTTGAATCATTGCAAGTAGATTTTTCTTTTTAGCTGTGGGAGTTTAACTTTATGATTCTACCTCAACCTATGAAACTTTAGTTCACCAAATGTCTTGGAACTCTGAACTTAAAGGAAACCATGCAGCGGAGTGATCTGGTGTGGTAGAACAGAGTGCTGCCTGGTGTGGGTTGGGGTGCTGTTGTATTAAGGAAATGCCACTGTTGAGGGATTCCTGTGAGCATCTTTTGGCATGTGTGGGAGGGTTATTTTATTTGGTATTTTTCTAAAGAAAACAGGGTATTCCAGTTTTCTGAGAAGTTTCTATTAATAGCTGCCTGAAATTACTCTGATGGAATGCTGAGGGGAGAAGGAGACAGGCAGTTGTCAGTTACATGAGAAATTAGTTTCACATATATTTGTAGTTTGCCATTTGGTTAGTACTGCAGAATTTATTTCTAATTGCTTGTCAGACTTAAACTTACCTGTTAGAAAGTGTTCATCAAGATGGATGCATCATTAATTGTTAATTTTCTTTGAATTTTAGATGATCATAGTCGTGTAAAACTGCAGAACACGGACAACGACTATATCAATGCCAGCCAAGTGGTCATAGAAGAAGCCCAGAGATACTATATTTTAACACAGGTAAGTAGTACCACAGAATCACAGAATGGTTAGGGTTGGACGGGACCTCTGGAGATCATCTAGTCCAACCCCCAATTACTAGGTTATTATAGGGATTGAGAATCTGGGCGAGGGGGATTTGTACAGTTATGATTTGTATTTGGATGGTTCCTTGGCTCTGTGAATTATATATATCTCGTACTAACCACCTGTTTGATCTAGTTGTAAACACGTTATTTTATAGTTTAAGAAAAAGTTCATGGGAATATTTAAGTATGAATAATTTACTGCATATAAAGCTTTTCAAATATTTTGTGCTCTTTTCTTTGATTCTTTTGGGAATAGGTTGCCAAAATACTTTTACCCCTCATTTCATTTTATACCTTCTGAGCATGCCTGCAGTAGCTTTTCTTCTAACAGCACAATACTATAGATGCCCTTAGTTTTTTTTTCTGAAACAACTCTTATCTGTGCAACGTGGTTGCTTTCTTGCCTGTCATTTCTGTCATTCTACTCATAATTTGCTTATACTTTTCAGAGGAAAACTTTTTCCTGTTTTGCACAGTGAACTATTAACTGTGTTGAAAAGCTGCTTTGCCTATGCATTCTCACACCCCTTTTTTTCTTTACTACACAGGGTCCACTACCTAATACATGTTGTCATTTTTGGCTAATGGTATGGCAACAACAAACCAAAGCAGTTGTAATGCTGAACAGAATTGTTGAAAAAGAATCGGTAAGTAATATTGGGCCTAACGTTGTAAAGTAAGCCACATAATTTTAATACAGTTGAACAACGTTTGATTGTTATGTTAAAAGAACTAACGGACTTCCTCACTGGTGTACAGCATAACATGTATTTAATATAACATTAAAGTGATGGAGCTAAGACTCAAAATTCCTTTTGGTGAAATCAGCATCTAATAAATATTCATCCAGAAAGGTAAAAGTAACATCCTGAGAAAGGAGGACATACAGATAGAAATAAGATGGAGTAGAAGCAGTGTAAGGTGCTCTAGAACAAAATGGAAGGTGAGAAAAGGGGTTTGAATTAAAATATCTTTATTTTATTTCTTCTAATCTAACAGAGTAGTGTATTTGTTAGATAGTCATCTTAACTGTTTGTAACAATGAAGACAAGCTGCTGCCAGCAACTGTCAAACTGAACTAGTTACTTTTGATTATTTACAGCTGTTGCTATACGTGTAGAATACACAAATCTTCCGTTATGATGTAGTTTTTCTGCTCATGTGCCTGCAACCACTGTGGATTTCAGTTATAAATGCATGTCATTTGAGGTTTATGGGTTTTCTTTGGAGTAGATTTGTTAGTGAAAAAGATTTGACTAGTCCATTAAAAAGTCACTTATTTTCTTATGCAAAAATTTCCCTGCTGAAAGTTTGAGTGCAGGGCAAGGGGAACAGTTTTGCCTTGCTTTGTTAGTTTATGCTTTTGTTTCATGAGAATCTTCCAGTATTCAGCTGGGAACACTGGATATGTTACATCAGTTATGTAAATGTGCAAGTGTGGGCCTCAGAAACGGAGGGGAGAAATGTTGCTGGAAGAGCACAGTAAAAACGTTCACTGCAGAGAACTAGAGGGGAGGGGGAGAGGGAGAAGGGTTAAGGTGTATCTCAAAACATGCTAGTCTTGTGGTGAAAGAAAGCATAAACAGATAAAGCCGGAATGTGTAATAGCCATTGAAACAGTTGTAGTATCTTGGCTGTAAATATTACGGACTTTGAGAATTCCTCAAACTGGGAGCAGGTACTCAAGTCTACTGTATTGAATAACGGAGTCTCAGAATCTGTTCATGCAAGGCCCAAGATCCTAGGATACTTAACCAGATTTTTCTTTTTTTTCTTCCTTTTTTCTTCTCTTTTTAAACAAAATATATTAGGTGAAGTGTGCACAATACTGGCCAACAAAAGAAGAGGAAGTTATGACATTCAGTGAAACAGGTTTCCGTGTGAGGCTAGTATCTGAAGACGTCAAATCCTATTACACAGTACATCTACTGCAATTAGAAAATATCAACGTAAGCTTTTCTCAGTCTGTATAGCTCATATTCCTGGGCTTAAGTATATAACGAAACCACTTAGAATATTATCACTACAGGTTTGATTTAGCTTTTACACTGAAAATTTTAATACACTTCGCTTCTGATAATGTTGAATATGTATGTGTCACACATAAGCGAGTGAGTTAGACCTGAATTAATCTATACGTTAAAAGAGATAAGAGCTTCAGCTTTTTTATACTTATGTTTTCTGTTTGGCAGTACTTTAACATGCTGAATTGTAATTGGTGGTAGTGGTGATGCTAAGAGGAGCTGTGAGAAATACCCTAAAAGGAGGAAGCTAGGAGTTGAAAATTCTGATTTCTTTTGAATATCAGAAATCAGACTCAGTAATTACTGGGTTTTTTTTAATGAAACTTTAGTTTTCCATATAATTCAGTCCAGCTATCTAAGTTTTTTGGGGGAGGGGTGATTACCACCTGTAGATAGGTAACTTTCTCCTCTTGCTTACCTCCCCTTTTGCTCCACAGGACCAACCATCCTTTTCTCTTAAAAATTAAGCACTTTGACAATTTAATCAAGTTAAGCTCAAAAAAATTGTTCCTGGCCTGAGCTTGGTTTGGAATTTGCTGCTTCTGTTTCAGAGCTGAAGACAGGATTGAAGAGCTTGTCTGTTTGTTCCAGCTATGTCTTGTAAGATACTCTCTCTCCCTATAAACCTTGCCTTATATTAATCGAAAGTGCTAGTATGGCAAGTTTTATTCAAGGTTGTCTTTTCAGTGGATTTGGGAAAGGAAAGCTTGAGGATATTTCCTTGCATGTTGTTTTATACAACTAAACATTGATATATTGGGTCAAAATTATTTGAATTTATAGTAACTATTAATGGTACTTTGAGATAATGTTTGTTAATTTGAAACCTCCCTCGTGAGATCAACATGATAAAACTTGGCATGTTGTTTCATGTCTATTCTGTGTAAGAGGAGCTTTATGAAATTCTGTCCTACTGACCTGAAGAATTTCTGTTTAGTTGTTTGTTTATTGCCAGCAAAGGCAAAGAAAAGAGTAGTGCTTGCAAGCTAGCGTCCGAGAAAGAATAACTTTCCTTTTTGGAAAGCTGTGGCAAGTTTTCCTAACTACTGAAAAGGCTTCTTTGTGGAATTGTCTGGCTGACGTTAGCCCCAAATCTTAAATTTCCTATTTTCAAAGGATGCAATTTTTATGGTATTTGTATGTTTGGACATAACATTAGCTGGAAAATGCAGAAATCCTCTGAGGAACAGCACAGCATATAGTAGACTTCTGAGTTGGAGCTATTGAGCACTTAAATTTCTGGGTTTGCTTTGGACTGGCAATGCAGCCCCCTCAGCGCTGTACAGTTTCTTGTGTGTCATGTAAATCAGTTTCACAAATACTTAGCAAACATACTGTATTGACTTTTTATTTTAATGCCCTAGCACTCCTATAAAGCTCCAGGAATATTAACTCTAAATAATATTTTTTATATAGAACAGCTGCAAGAACTAGAACATACTTGGTTAATCAAACAGAAAAAATACATATTTTCTAGAATAACACTGTGAATGTTAAGTGCAGCCTTCTGTAAGAATTTGATAATTATACTATAAAGCTTGTGGGAACTGAGTATTCACAGTAACTTGAAATGTGAGCTTAACTATGTTTATACAAGTTACTCTGGAGGGGACTTTGGTGGAGCCAGAGTAGTAAGACATTTAGCCACTTGACGCCTGGAATATAAGATGACTCACAAACAAAATACACTCTGAATTCCAAGAATCCTGAAGAAATTTTAGTATTTCCTTGAAAACAGAGAGAACTAGAATTGTCTTCATAATAAAACCATACTGAACTCAAGTGAATTTGTGTTACTGCAAGAAATCTCTCTAATATAGAAGCAAAATACATACGTATGAAGAGTAAAGTGCTTGTTTAATGTTACCAGTGAAACAACCTCTGAATATTTGATTGGTTTTGGTGGTGGTGTTTTTGTTTTGTTTTTGTTAAAGAGCAGTTAGAAGTACAGGTGGGGTTTGAAGGGGAGCAATGTTTGTTTTTTAGAATTAGATCAAGGCATTTGGCGGTTTGATTTGTTTATATCTGTTCTAGGCAAACATTCGGTTTTGCTGTTGCAGCTATGGTCCAATAAAGCTTTGGAGAGGAGATGGTGTTTATTGGTATCTTTCCAAAAGTTTTGAAAATAGTTTTAATGTGCTTTGTCTTGCTGGTGATTATTGGGGAATTTCCTTATTTTTTGCCTGACCTAGTTTAGAATATAGAAATTTGAAGCTGCTTTTCCACCATGGTTCATTGTGTGTTCTCCATCATTTTGTTGGTGTCAGCTGTCAGCTCTTCTGACAGTCGACCACTACTTTCTGCTGTAATTGCTCAGGTTCAGAATTCTCCTTGAGGAAAGACTGACTGAAGGCTTCCACAAACCCTTCCCTCTGCTGGAAAATAAGGATAGAAGGAAAATACTGTGCTCATGTTAAAAATTTATCATTCATGTGTGAAGCTATTGCACGTCTGTGACTTGAAGCGAAGTCTCCCAGTATGCTGGAGAAGTGACAATAAGTTTTGCGACAATATTATGGGAAAATTTTTAGATATTGGCAGCTAACTTCTGGAAGAGTCCACCTTGTGTTCAATATGTATTTTTATATTATTCTTTATTGCTGCTTTTAGCTTCCCTTGTCACAAGTATAAGTACTGGTCTTTAGAGAAAGAAAACTTTTGTTTTCAGTAATTTCTGATGTGGCAACCCAGATAACCTGGAGAAAGATACAATGTGACACATAATGAATGCTTATAAGCAAAACCCCACTAGATTGGTACTGGGGAGTTCAGGGAAGCTGTGGGAAGGCAAATGAGCATCGGTACTTGAGGGAGACCAGGGACTGACTGGGTGAGGAAATGGAGAGGTGGAAAGGAATTGAAATTGTTGGAGGAACCTTTATGAATGTATCTCAGACTGTGTTCCTAGAAATAAGTATAAAGCAGCCAAAGGAGAGGTTTGCAAAGAAAATGTTTTCTGGAGGAACAAGGACTAGAAGAAATGAACTAGATATGATGTGACGCTGGTGGTATGGTACTTTAGAGTGAGGACCTTTAATAAACCCCAAGTGGAATCTTGAGTCCTCTGCAAATAACAAATACTTGGAAAAAAACCCATCAGCAAAATGGATTCCCAGTGTAGTTCCAAATCTCTGTGTGGCTATTGCTGTCAGATTAAGGTGACACAAGACTGCTTAGTGGCCCTCACTAACTGATCCTTTGGATGAACCAGGAAGAGTCAGTGTAGTTCAAGAAGATAAGATTTGCTTTGCTGCTGGTTTACAGTGTCTAAAATTTTAAATGTACTGAGAAGATCTTTTGTTTGTGGAGGCAAGCAATCTAATAGCAGGTGATGTTCTGGGATCTAGTGGTGTCTTTGTACACAGATGTGTATATGTATGTAATTCTAAAGTGTTTTGAAGGGATTTCTGAAACATGGCATACACATGCTTTTAAACTTGCGGGATGTCCTCATATCACTTTGTCAAACTGTAACAGGGGTTAATTTTGGTCTTCATGACCACAAAAATAAGACTGAGGTATTAGGAAAGGTATTGGTGTCGAACAGGAAAGGAGAACGCAGACTCACTTGAATGTTAAGTGTTTGCAGATTCAATGGGCACAGCTATTATCATGTTGACTTGCAGGATATGCACTAGTTATTAAAGAAAAAATACATAAATGTTTGTGAGGATTATTTGTCCCCATTATCCTCATTGCCATTTTTATGTATGTTTTGAAAACCATTTTGCCAAGCATTAGAATGAGCAAATAGAAGAGGTTGCGGTAAAAGTTGATTTAAGATTTCCAATTTCAGTGCTTAGAATACTGGCCCTACAGCATGCCGTCTCATTTTTATACAATCAAATTAGTTGTTGATGCACTTAAGGCGTGATCGTTAAATACAGGACCACTGTGGGGTTGTACGTGTATTTTACACCTTCATATGTTAGACCATTTCAGTAGCCCTTAAACTATGAAATCAAGGGGCGTGTGAAATTTGACAGATCAGCATTTTTCTGTCTTCACCCATTTTACTTGATACTGAAGGTATCAAATTCCTTTGAGCGTTTTGGTAGTATTTTATTCATGTTCATACTCTCAAGTGACTGAACAATCTAAAGTTGTTTTAAGATTTTTGTACCTTTTTGTTTTAAGTGATTAGTCTCTGTAAAAAGGTTATGACAAGGCCCGTTTTGATGAAAATTAATCTGATGGCATTATATTATTTTTTTGCTCAAGTCCTGTTGTGGACGTCTGCTTGTAGCCTGGAGCACGGCTTGTGGTTTGATCATGCTTTGATTATGCTGTTAGTGTTGCCAGCAGTCAGTGGAGGACTGTGCAGTGTGGTGGTAACTTTCTGAGTTTATCAGTTTTAGCTATGTTGGTTATTTACTGAAAGCTTATGCCAGTAGTTTGTGAAACCTTCACTTAAATGGTTTGACTTATTTTCTTAAAGTTGTTTGTTTAAATGTTATCCCATGATTATTCAAGGATTTTTTTTATTTTTGGTAGCTAGTCTTGGGGAATAAATCTTGGAAGAATATGTTGTGGTTACCATAGAAGAAGCTGGTTTTCAGTTATCGTGCAGAAATGTGTACCCTGTGTATAACATAGATAAAATTTTATATTACTGCCTGACTCTTGAAGTCCAGTTTTTTTCTTTAAGAGAATATCTAGTTTCCTGATAACGCTTTAAATAAAATTAGTTGTTCTTTAAAATTGAATTTCTGTCCATCAACAGTTGTGAATCTTTAGCAAGCCAAACCTTTTCTCATTACAGTCCTGCATCACTTCACGTAAGTGATAGCTGTGGTGTATGACTCAGTGACAGGGGGAGTTCTTTAAGAAAGGGTAGTACAGATATTCACACAAAGATGGTATTTCAGCTGTAGAGCTTGACTGCCAAGCACCACTTAAAAGAACCATTCTGTTTAAGAGAGAAAATGTGGGAGGTTTGAAATATTCCAATGGGATTTGGCTGTATGATTAGAAACCGCATGTTCAAAGAAGGCCAGGCAGTTCCGGTGCACTGAAATGGGACTCATGAGGAAAGATGAAGAGATGAAGTATTTTTAAAATGAGCTGAAGTGATGGAAAATTGTGGGATGGATAAAGCCTTCGTACAGTATTGGGGGGGGAGAAAAAAGTAATTCTGTGAGTTAGAGCTGGATGAGTTGTACAATGGCATTGTTTAATCTCTCCTTTAGAAATACCTATTTTCAGATTAGTACATGATCAGGGTGACACTTGGCCATGTGCTTGAAGCACTATTGTTTGGGTTTTTTTATGAGGAGTGCTTGTTATAGTATGTGAGCTGAAAAAAAAAAAAAACCTTGAAAAAAACACAAACAAACAAAAAAACAGATCACATTTGTTTTCTATAGATAAGGGCATTTTTGCCTTCTTGAGGTATAAGGGAGGCTTTAATCTGAAATGTTATTTAAGAATCTTGAGGGTTAGGGGAGAGTATCAATTACCACTGCAAAGGATAATCTAGATTCACAAAAACCAACTTTAACCTTTGATTTACCTAGGATGTGCATTTAGCTCATCTTTCCAGTTATCCTCTTCAATTTTTTTTGCAAATTGCTAAGTTATTTTTCTGAGAAATAGAGGAATTCGCTTAAGAGTGTTATCTTCTATAATTTCCATATTTCTTATTTAAAAAAAAAATTATCATCTCCTTCATGATTTTTAAACAAATGAATAATTTCAGTTGATTAGTGACTTAACTCACTAGTTGAAACACTAGGTACAGAAGACCAGTATGAAGCTCTCGGTTGAAAATACAAACTTTTTTTTTTTTTTTTAATGCTTTGCTTCAGCCAAATAAAAATTGGAAATCTCAGTGTATTTACACAACTTAGGGCTTGGTAGATTTTTTGTTTTCCCTTTGAAATCTTACTGTGTACTCATTTTCCCAGTATAATGGATCAGACTCTGTTGTCCTTGTTGAGCTCTTAGCCAAAAGACAAAATATTCCTGGAAGATAACTGTGCACTTAGAGTGACTTGAGTCATGTTAATATCCACTGTTTTCTGTGAAAGTATTGGCAGTCTTGTGGTATCAGGCATTGAAGGCAAAAAAAAAACCCAGGAGAGTGTTTTTGTTACTGTGGATTATTCTAGTTTCACAAAGGAGTTTCGTAAGCTGTCCCTCATAAGAAATTCAAACAGATTGAACAGGAGATGAACAATAGAATTTATTTAAATTTCATTGCTATATTTTACTGTTGCTGAAAAAAAGAAAAATAGCTTTTCTGGAATACATTGATATTTTATATCAATTTATAATTTTATAAACTTGTGGAGGTTTATGTAGGTTTCAATCTATGTGGAAAATAAGATAAAATGGAGGGAGGATAAAAAACCTGAACGTTTCTAGAGTTCCTGAGCTACATCAGTGATCAAGTTGTCTCAAAATCACAGTAGCAAGAAAACAAGGGAGGCAAGGTGTAGCATTCAACAGCAGGTCTGAATGGAATTCCGTAAAGATATGATCCAAATTTGTCATCAGAGCTTTTCAGAGATACACGTACTTTCTTGCTGTCATTTCAGTACTTGTGGTTAGTTGGTCGTGTTAGGAGAGGAGCCTTATGGTTCTGAAACAACTGTATGGTTTTGGAATCCTTTCTTACTTGCAAAGAATGAATACATCCAGCTGAAGTCCTGCTAGATGGGTTCTTCTAGGCCTTTTCCATAAAGCCTCCTGCTCCTCTCAGTAGTGTGGTTAGTATAAAGGAGATGCCAATACCTCTTGATATTAAAAATTGCTCTAAGCAAGAGTGGAGAGTGTTTACAATGCTGATGGGCATTTTTTTCAGTCATATTAATGCCGGCAGTCTAGTAACTGCTGTCAGCCATTAAGCTGTGTTAATGGCAGAAAAAGAAGAATATTTGAGAGCAAGTAGAAAAGCAAACCAAATATAATATTGGATTTTTGAGAAGAATTAAAAATGTGTATGTTAATAATTGCAAAGGGGAAAACTACCAACTTGGATGAAAAACTGCTTCAGGGTGCACTGTTGGTTGTCATCCAACTTGAAGCAAGTTATTGGATTGTTTTCTAAATGGGAGGTTTAAAATAGAAAGTAGCTATTTATTTAGATTGGGAAATGTGTGCTAACTAAAGAAAAGTAGAATACTTTCTAGTTGTATTGTTTATTTTGTTTTTACTTCTAGAGTGGTGAGTCCAGGATGATCTTTCATTTTCATTATACGACATGGCCAGACTTCGGAGTTCCTGAATCTCCAGCTTCATTCCTGAACTTCCTCTTTAAAGTCCGAGAGTCTGGTTCACTAAGTCCTGAACATGGACCTGCAGTGGTTCACTGCAGTGCGGGGATAGGACGTTCCGGCACATTTTCTTTAGTAGACACTTGTCTTGTTCTAGTAAGTGTTTGGTCATTTTCTCTGTCATCCTTTTCCTTCTCCTGACACACTGCCTCCTTTCCCAATATGGGCTTTTTGGTCAGAAGGCTTTAAAAGTATTTAAGTTAATAGCATGCCAGTGAAACCATTAATTAAGACATCATACTTTATTTTCTTCACATATTTTGATGGTTTAAAAACACAACTCTTGAAATACATTTACAAATCCGTCTTGAAGTACGTTACACGTTTGCAAAGGTTCCTGGAAACTAAATAGTAAGCATTCTTTTCCTTTTATATAAGATGTGCTTAGAAGAGGTTGAGGTTGGTTTTGTTTTGTTTTGTTGTTTTGTTTTGTTTTTAAATATGAACTTAAAGTTAGGCTTGTGAATATATATTGAGACAACTTCATATATAAGTGTTTTTCTCTAAACATGGAATATCTCGCAGGTCTGACAGGACCCTTTTCTTAAGGTTGCAGAAAATTGGTATCTGAACTATGATGAGAACTCGGGCGTTTCCCTGGATCTCCTGCAGTGTGTAACTGAGGATGGTGCAGGATTTCCCTAGCTGTGCAGCCCTCTGGGAGGTGGGACTTGGTAGCCAGTTGCAGTACCACATGAATGACTAGATTTTTTTCATACTCAATGAACTGCATCGTCTATTATTGCTCATGACTTGAGTGAACTTTAAATGTTAAATAATATTTAAAATATCTTTGAATTTTTGTTGGATTCTAAAGTCCAGATACAGGCTTTTTCTTTTTGACTCTGCTTGATAATAGTGCGAAGTACAGCACAGGGGTAGGTGAAATAGGTTTTCATTTAAATTCGAAGACAATTGTCTCACGGTTTGGTTAGGACTTCTCAACTTATTTTTAATTTTTTCTTCAGATTTTATTTTATTCTGCATTTTGAAAAACACAGGTGTATGTATTGATGCAAATATATTTTTAATATTACACAAAGTAAAGTGAACACTGCGAGAAGTGCAGAGCTGTGGTTAGAAACACCCCATGAATATAGTGTGGGGACAAGTGTGTGCATTGCTTGGATTAGGGATTCTGCTTTAAATAAGGAAACTTCTGTCACACTCGGTCATTCCGAATCGCTGTTCCATTTGGGAGCCGTAGAAAGTACTGCTTAGCAGTTCTGATTCTTATTGTCCTATTTAAAAGTACAAATACATACCTAAATAAAATCCAGCCTATCTAAATTTCTTAATTTGAAGACTTAATATTAGGGTACTGATTTGTTTGGTCAATATGTGATCATTGATTTGTTCATAATAAGCTTTCATTAGATGGTTTGGGTTTTTTTTCTGTAAAAACAATATAGAAATCATTTGAGATGTTAATTTCATATATTACTAATAGAAACATAATATGAATAAATTAATTTTTAGATTGAATTTTATGACTAATTTCTACTTGTAATTATTTTTTATATGTTGCCTCTCTTTATGAATCTCAATGACACTCTTCATGTGACTTTCTTTACAGATGGAAAAAAAAGACCCATTTTCTGTAGATATTAAGAAGGTATTACTGGATATGAGAAAATATCGAATGGGACTTATTCAAACTCCCGATCAACTAAGATTTTCATACATGGCTGTAATAGAAGGAGCAAAATTTATAATGGGGGATTCAACTATACAGGTAAATGTGAAGTTCCGTGTATTTAACCATAAACAGTAGACTGCTAACAGTAGTTAAAAATGAGCTCTGAACTATTTAAAAACATGTGACTTTGTGGGGTTTAAATAATTTGCCTTTTTCAATAGCTGCCCAGAAAGTGTTAGAGGGTACCTGATCAGCCCCTTCTGTCAGATAAAATTTTAATCCTATGTATTGGTCCCCTCTTAGAGAAAATATAAAAATAATTTGTTTGTACAAATGTGTTTCTTTTTTTTTTTTTTAAAGTTAAATTGATCTCTTCAGTACTGAAAAGGAGAAGTAATGCCCAGTATCACTTTGAAAACATAGCAAGGATCTTTTAAGGATTTCTTGATCTTTGCTCTATATTTTCCTATTTTCTGTTGCCTGATGCTACAGATCGCATTTATTAGTGAAGTTGCTTTTCTTTTTCTTTTTTTTTTTTTTCCCATATCCTTTAAAATTTATGTTATATTTGGCCAGCTTCTACTAACTGTGATGAGTTTTGGGGCAAACAGATTACCAAATCTCCCTATTTTATCAGTGTGGCTTGCAGATGTAACAGTAGCTACAGTTCTTTTAAATGGCTGGGGCTAGATGGGAGGGAGGACTGGGAGGAGAGGCTGTGAGACAGACTTAATTCTGCTTTCATATGGTAGGGCTTTTTTTATTTTGTTGCTTTCTTAAAATCATGAATGAAGCAGATAAGCTGAAATACATTTCCTCTTTTCTGTGGTTCTGCTAGTTGTCAGATTCTTTTCTTTGACAAATGTTTCTTGACTTGCTGTGTAAATAAAGAACTAATTTTGCACAGCTACTAATCAACACCTGGGTAGTGTGCTGCTAGTCTGACACCTGCACCATATGGGTTGAAGACTTCATGATTCATCCTAACACTAACAGCAATTTAGCCTCTTTATTTTCTGGAAGCTATTTCTGGTGGTACGAGGGTACTCTCTCTAATAATTTTTCTGCTTTGTTTTTTAAAAAGCCATGCGGCAAACCGTGAGCAGCTCCAATTCCCACACTTTTATCCATTTAGATCACAGGATTTCTTGTTTCTGGATACAAGGGAGCATTGCAACTCCGAATACTGCTTGTCAGGTTCAAGTGTATTATTTCTTCATACTAAAAGAATGCCTAAGAAGGCACACTTCTCATTTGTTCTTTTTATCTTTTTCTTGTTATGATTGTTCAGATGATCTTTCTTAAACCAGGCTTTTGTGCAGAGCAGGCAGTTGTCCTGGTGCTTTTCTCTTCAGGCCTCAGGGACATGTGCAGAAAATCAATTGGCAGTACTTATAGGAGTATTTCTCCTTTCAAGGTCAGCTAGATCATTTTTTTTCCCCCATGTGGAACAGTTGTACTGTCCAGAGTGTGAGCACTGTTTACTTCTCTCTGCTAGTGATGGGGAAGGCATGAGGTCATTGAGTGCTTCTTTAATGTAACTTTACCTAAATGTTCATCTCTGATGTCTCCATGGATTTTGGAAGTCAGTAAACTGTGCAGACAAACACAATGTATACTTGAGCCTTTACTTGGTTACAGCTAGGGGCTGCAACTGCAACACTTATTTTGGGGGGTGAGGAGTCTCTTCCCCTCGTTTAGCACTGATGGGATTTCTATGTGTGACCGAAAGGAAGGATCATACACTTGCCTGGGTTGCCCTGAAGCCCTGCAGAGGCGTGTGGTTGGTGTGCTGCTGCATGGTCCTGTAGCTGAAGCAATTACTTGCTTCCGAATTATACTACAGCACTGCACCATATAAAATGGGTGAGGTGGAACAAGGTTGAAGTTTTCATTTGTATAAAATTCCTTTGTAGTAAAGGTAAGTTAATATTGCTTCAACAACATAGTAGAATAACTTACCATCACTCTTTCAGAAAAATCTGTTGAAATGAGTGGTCTCTGGAAAACAAATTTGTGGCTTTGAAAGGACAAAGAAGATTGAATTCCTCAGATCCATGGGTGTGTTTTGCAGACAGAGAACAAGAATATTATAATTTTGTACTGAAACTTGTGAATCCAAAAATTGTATCTGACATTCACCTGATCCTGTCAACTGCACACCTTAATGTGCCTTTCCCTTGTGTCCTTTCATTTCAAGAGGCAATATAGGCCCTAAGTCTTAGCTCCCTTATGCAGGCATTTTGGTTATAATATTAAGGGCAATTGTAGTTCTTAAATCAAACTTCATCACTTCTTTGTTTCTTCCAGACAGTTTCACAAGACATAGTGTAGTACTTCAGTTCCTGAGATATGTTTTTGTTATTCTGTTTTTCTAAAGTTGCAGATGCTATCATAAAATGGCAAAGGTAATTTAGCAACAGTCCTCCTTGTCTTCCTGCTCCAAGTTGTACCTTATTTTCCCAGTCCTGCCATTCACATAGTCTTGTCGTAGATATTTTAAAATGAGAATTACCAGTATATGAGCTATTGTTATTACATGTTTAAAATAGAATTCTTGGTGGGAAATTCCTTCTGTGTCACAAGAGTAGTAAAATTGTCTCTGATTTCAGTTCTGCCTGTGTGACTTATCACTCCAGATGAAATTGGTATTTATCTTAGCCAGCAAGTCTGTTACGGACACAACCATGTCTTCCAAAAGGCCTTTTTCTGTGACAGTAAGATGGAGCTACTAAGTGGATTTCCATTTGTTAGTGACTGTTTCTTTTTGGGGTTATTTTTTGTTTAAGACAAAACAAAGAAAACCTTTGAGAGTGAAGTCTCTTGTCCATGAAGACTTCCTTTGTGAATTTCAGATCTATACTGGATCCTCCTCTGTGATGGAGGAGTCTGTTTATTGTTAAAGCTCATTCTGCCAGCAGTTAATTTATAAGTAGCTGGGGTTTTTTGGCTTCAGTCTTTGAGGTTGGTACTTAGTTTAGACCAGCAGGCTTGAATTCATTCAACAGTCGAGAATCTAACACTTGTTTTGTGAAGAGTCAATTTTCAGTTCGTGTTTCTTACCATAGACATTTAGAAGGAACTGATTCCCACCTCCCCAAGGTATTCTGTATCATTTCAGGCTGGCCAATTTGTGCAAGAAAAGAACTGATTGTCTTTCAAGGGCAATGCTTTTCCTCTCTGTTACCTTTTCAGGGTTTTTTCCTGCATGAAATTTTGTTGCAAGAAAGCTTTTAGACTATTCATCATTAGGACAGTTACCCATTAGGACAGAGATCTAGCAAACCAGTTTTACTTTACTTTTATTTTTTTTCTTCCATTTCATTTCAGATTAATTCTCAAAACCAGGTGAATATCTGGCTTATGGTGCAGTAGATATCTGGGCCCATGGACCACTAGGTGAAATAGTAGACCATAACTTTGGCATAGATTTTTTTTTTTTTTCTTGGGGTTGCAAATTTCTCAAGTTCTTTTTAGGCAGTTCTTGGTCCTACTGCGTTTTGGAGCCATGATAGGTAACAGCACAGCTTAGGCCTGTAGAGGGAGATGGAAAGTGCTGAACAGTGCAGGACTATGCAAGACAAATTTCTTTCTCATTGTGGAGCTACTGTGGACAATACAAATCTCAAAGTCAGTGGCCTCATACCTTCACAGTAGCGTCATCCTGGAGAAATACAAAAAGGATGGTGAAGATGCATCTTCATCTAACCTTATTTCTTCATCTAGCAATTGCTATCTTTTTTCCTTGATCTAGTAGTTCCTTTAATCTACTGGTGTGACTTTGCTGTGGGAAGACATCTTGGGCAAAGAGGGCTTTCAGTGTTAGAGGAATGTTTGAAAGAATGTTCTCCTTGTTTACAGAAACGGTGGAAGGAGCTCTCTAAGGAGGACCAAGCACCAAGTTCTGAGCAGTCTCCTCCACACCCAACCAAAATAACCACAGAGAAGTACAATGGGAACAGCATAGGCCTGGAGAATAAAGATCAAATGGAGAAAATCAATACTGACCTGTCCACTAAAGTTCAAGATATCACAGACGGAAACATTGAAAGGTAGGCAAAATGAGAAAACTGTTTAGAAGGCAGACACATTCTCTTGAAAGGCTGAACTATTGTATGCTTTTCTTATAAGAAACCTTCAAGATCTTTCTTCAGTAGAGGGAAAGGACAGGTGGTATTTGACTGTCTGATTTAATTATTTTTTTTAAAATACAACTTCAGTTATTCCTTGTAATAAACCCTTATTGTTTGAAGGTCAAGAGAAGGAAAACAATTGCCTCTAATTGAAGCAGCTAAACCTCATGTTTGAAAGCGTTTTCCTACAGACTCCCTGTGAACTCTGTTGTGCAGTGTGAATTAGGTCCTAAGAGTGCCCGGAATAATTCGATACTGATTTTTAAATACAATGCTAACTTCTGTTTGTAAAAATACATGATACGTCAGAAGCACAAAGTTTTTATCATCTACCACTTTCTATATGATCTACCGCTTTCTATATGATTGCAATTTTATCATTGCAGCCATATGTTACCCTCCACTCATGTTAAGTCTATATCATGTTAAATCTAAATCACTGTGAATAGACTCCTGTGGTTTAGCTGTGGCGTGTGAATTTGTTTCTCTGCCTCATGAGTAGTAATGCCTCAGCTGTGAGCCGCTGCACTGGGAATTGCTGTCCAAATTGCTGTGCCTTGAGGCACTGTGTCATTTGGGCCTGCCCAGCAAGGGTAGCGTGTGGATCCATAGCCAGAGCGCCAGGAACTGGACTGGGTTGTGCCGAGCTGTGCGGTGCAGGGGAGGAGGCAGTGGCTGTCCCACAGGGCTGCAGTCTGAGAGGAGATGCAGCCATTCAATGTAGATAGACTGGAATTCTGAAATAACAGATGGCCTACTCTGAATGCCCTGATGAGTTTCTCTTTCCGTGTCTTTATGAGTGTTTTGAGAGAACCACAGTGATTCTGTGGATGTTTGAAGGAGCCCCTCACAAGCAGAAGGGGGAGGATGGGTGTGTAGTGTTTGTGTGCTAGGACTTGGACAATCAAAGCCGTTTTTTGTGTCTGTTAGGCTTTCTTAGGGATTGTGAGGATACTTCTGGAGACAAGAGTTACAAGGTGGCCCTGATAGTGTAGCAACACACAACTGATTTTTAGCCTGTGTCCTTGGTCAAGATTTGCTTTACAGCCTAAGATGAGTACTATTAAGTTTGCATGCAGGCACGAGTAGGTTAGGATCAACCTATTGGTGAGGCTAGTGTGAACTCTGCAGTGGAGGCACACGCTTAAATACTATGAATGTTTGCACGTAGTACCTGACGTTGCATACAAAAGCATCCTCCATGTTAAAAAAATCTCAGCTACTGCATGGGGCACTGATGGGAGTGAATGACTAAGCTCAGATAATTAAGCTGATTCTGTTCCCTGTTTAACATGTAGGTCAGGCAGCACTTAAATCTTTACATATGTCATTTACTTCTTTCGGGGGCTTCACTGATCTGAAACTGTCCACATAAAGATTGTTAAAACAGAATAAAAATTGCTTGGTTTAGATTTTAATTACTGCTGTCATATGCTACTGGTGGGTTGATTACATACTGGGACTGTGTTGGGACTGTATTAAATTGGGACTGTATTCCTTTAAATTGGGATTTGTTTTAATATTTTAATAGCCTTTTTCTCCTGTTCTACAATTTAAGATTTACCTCTTCTTTTTTTTCTCTTTAAGTACTGTCCGAAAACGACTGCGAGAGGATAGAAAAGCTAACACAGCACAGAAGCTGCAGCAGATGAAGCAGAAGCTAAATGAGACTGAAAGAAAAAGAAAAAGGTGGTTATATTGGAAACCTATTCTCACTAAGATTGGGTTTGGTACACTGATTTTAGTTGGCGCTTATTCTTGCTGGAAAATGTATTTTCAAGAAACATTCCTTGTAAGTAAACAGTAAGCCTGTCTACTCCAGCAGCTAAGTTTGCTGCAAGTTAATGATTAGGGGTGTGACTTTAAGCAGTAAACTCCTTACACCTGGAATGGGTGCAGACCGTTACATACAATAGAGAAGTGTTGTAAACTTGATCTCATGTCAGCATCTCAGGACTTTCCACTGCAGGTACTTGCAAAAACGAACTGCTGCCCCCCAACAGAGTTGGTGTTTTTTTGTTTATATGAGCAGGTACAAACTTACCGCAACTGTTTATACACTTTTTAAAATGGTGTTCTACCGAATCTTAAGCAAACCCTGAACCACAGGTTTAGTTACTGAAGGCTGTCTGGATTTAAATTTACATGCCTGACATAAGCAATAAACAGTGTTGTATCATTTACATTATTAATGCAAAGAAGTTATCCTTAAATGTGTGTAATGTGTAATGTACTAGTGACATGAACATAAACATTTTATATTCTTATGACCTAGGATAAATATATTTTATAATTGCATATTTAATCTTTTTGTAGTTCACTGTACTTTTAAAAGCTCAGTTTGTACAAATTTCTGACCAAAAAGAAATTGATTTTGAAACTAAATGTAATTATAATTTGTGCATGAAAATAATAGTGCAACCATTCCCCATATTTTGACTCTCAAATTTATGATATGAGCAGCTAGGGGTCTGATGAAGCACTTACCAACTTCTACTCTGTTAATTTGCATTCCTTATTTATTTTTTTGTAGTTTTCATTATTTAAGTGAGGGTTGGAAATTTGGGGTTTTTTTAAAGGCTTTTGAGAACTTAGCCCCCACTGAAAAGCATACTGTTAAGTTGATTCATGTATTCAGACTTCAACTACTGTTTGAAGGCCAACGTTGTTAAAAGTTCTGACATTCCATTAAATGTGAAACGTAATGTTTTGTGTGTCTATAGATTTTAATTGCTAGAAAGAATAAAATTCATTCATCAGTAACAGGTGTAGAAGGCGCACATCAAAGGACACTATAGTTGGGCTTCAAGGGTGGTTGTAACAGAAAACAAATGTTATTAGTATTCTCCTGTACCCAGTATGTTCAGCTGTATGGAATGCTTCCATACGCTCACGCTTTCTGGAATTGCTTTTCAGGTTCCCCAGCACTGTATTAAGGAGACATGACTTAAAACACCCAGTGACTAGTATTTTGGGAATACCTATGCTACAGTCACTTTAAAATTATTGAGCGCTCCCTTTCCATTAGTTGGATGATAACGCTTTCTAAGTAGTAATTCAACACAAATCACTTTCTGTCCTTTAAATTCTCTTTGAATATGGCTGTATGTAGCTTGCTGTCATTCAAGTTGAGACCCAATAATTTTTAGTATTGGACTGCACTTCGAAACCTGGATTTTATTTATTCGAGCGTTGCCTTGTGGGTGACTTCAGAGAAGTTGTGTTTTCTCCCTCCGTTTTCCAAGCTTGGGTGTTTTCCATTGGGTATGGGGGTTTGTCTTTTTTCTCTTCTTCTTCTTCCTTTTGTCCTTTTGTAAAGCATTTCTTGTGTTTACTGCTGAAAAATACTAAAAGAGCCTTTGCTCTTTATCCAAAGGAATTAACTTGAAAGGTTTCCAGTATGTTCAAGCTTAGTAGTAACATACCAGGCACGAGGCCCAGATAATCTGACATTTACTACGCAAAGCTAAGTTGAGCTTACGCTTTGAAATTCTCATTTCACAATAGCTAATACTATTTTGGACCATGCTGTTTATATAGTAAACAAATGTTTAAGGGTCCAGATAGGAAAACAAGTGTAGTTTCTTAGAACATACAGTTCTGTGTTTGGGAAATTGCGTGTCAGTAAAACAAGAGAATTTGTCCTGTGGCATTACTGACTAACTATGCAGCTCTAACAGCAAAGTAACGTACTGATTGCTGTGACACAGTATAGGCAGGCAGTTTACGTATTTTAAGACATTTTGTAATTATTACAACCACAGTAACTCTTTTCAGCCAACAAGAGGCTTGGCGAAAGATTTTTTTTTTTTTTCCTTTAAATTGGGAAGACAGGTTTTTCAGTATCAGCTATAACTGATAGTAGGTGTAAATATATGTGCCTTATAAAAGATACTTTGGTTATGGAAAAACACGTGGAATGTAATTAAATGCTTTTATAAGATAAATATTCCAGATCTTATTCTAAATACTTAAAAGCAGCTAAGGAAAAAGTGCAGGCGCAACCTTCACTGAAATCATGCTGTCACTTACCGCTTTTCTGTTTGCATGAGAAGGGTTTCCTGGGCCACCAGTACCCTACAGACACTCAGCTCTAACTGTGTCTGTCAAGTTGTTGCTGGAATTTTTTCCTGATTCCATCTTCTAAATCCTGGCTTTTCTCGTTCTCTCAATCCTGAGCAGGCATTCCTCTTCTCTGGGTGGGGCAGGGCGGGAGGGGCCACCTTACATCATCTCACGCTCTGTTACCTTCTTGATGCAATAAAGCAGGACTTCCACCTTCAACAGTTGATCTGTAAAAAATTTGGTTTGGTTACATGGTTGTAAGTATCTTGAGAGTCTTAACTGTTAATAATTGAAGGACCACGAACCAATACGAATCTTGGACAAAACTGTTTTGTACGGTGAATTGTCCATGACAGTATGGCTGTAGAAGGGAAATTAAACATTAGATCCCTTAGTACATTCCAGGACATAATCTTGATGAAACTTTTCTTTGGTTGGTCAGTAATCCTTAAAACCCAAAGTCTGGGGGAGGCTTGTTTTCTTTACTGCAAATTGAGTCCTTGTGATACTTTGTTATTCTGTAGGATTTAAACTTGCAGCAGTTTTGCACAACTTAGATTTTAAATAGGAACCAATATGAGCCAAAACAAAGAACTGTCAATCCAAGTGACCTCTATGGTAGGAAATGCTTAAAGAAAGAGCAAAAATGAAGGACGTACCTTCTGACCCCTCTTCTGCCTCCCCCTCACCCCAGTTTCTGGCAAGCTGCTGGCTGGTCCTGTGCTGCTTCTAAAGTGCTGTTGCACTTGATTCAAAGTGTTACTGTGGTGGGGTTTTCCCGATGTTCTTGGAATGCATCAGTCAAAATATTGGATGCATAGTGGACTTCTTGAATTTGATTAAACAATGTTTGACTCTCAGATGAACACTTGTGTATGAGTTGCGCATGGTTTTATTAAAAAAAAAAAAAACTGCTAACAATTGTGAACCTCCATGGCAATGGGTTTGCAAATTCGGAATTAGTCCTTTAGGTTTTCTGTTTATGTCCTTGATGCAGGGACAGTCCAGTTAGAGTGACGGTACATCTGTATTTTTCTTGAAATGTATGAAGTAAAATAACTGAGTTCAGCATGAAATAGTGCTTTGAAAAAAAATTACAGATTTATTTCATGGAAGTAAGATGTTGCAAGATGAAACAGCTTATTCTGTTAAACCTTGAGTAAAATGGTTTACTGACGTCAGTTTATATCCCACTGAAAAGGGAAGAGGTGTAAATGTATGCACATATGTGTGATTGGATTGTGCAGGCGATTAAAAAGCCTGGATAGCTTTAAGTTTAATGAATGTTAACCAAATTATTTAGTTTGCTGTTTGGCATTATAGTTAAACCTGAGACACTTGAGGACTGCACGAGAAAGTAAATTAACGATAACAAAAGAGGAAGTCTTCTGTGTGGCCAAGTGGCTTAAGTCAGAGGACGAAATTTGCAAAGCTGACGTAACACACAGTAGTCTTCCTGGGCTTTTTTGTTTTCCCCCAAAGTTTTAGGTCAGTCTTTCATTTTTTATGTACGAAAAATAAATGTGTTCAAAATTGCATCTCTGTCTGAGTCTTTATTTGAATTGGAAGGATAAATACTTGGAAGGATTTTTTTACAGTGTCTTAACTGATCAAAGAAAGCTGCTTTATGAATCAGTGTAGCGCTCGCAGAACTTAAAAGTATTTTACTTGTAGTAGCTTGGGTATTTGGTGCTGGAAACACCCAGGTCTTTTTCTGTGTTCCTTGGCTCAGAGCAGAGCCTTACCTTCCCCAAGAACAAAACGTCCAGTCTTGGGATGTCTTCCTCCCTACAAGAAACTTTTGCCTAGAAACACTTATTTCCGTGCCGCTGTGCCAGGTCTGGCCTACAGAGCCGTGAGGGGTGACGTTAGCGTTTTGAGGTGCAGCCTTCTGCAGTCCCACTGAGGCTCACGAAGACTTCGGCAGTGCTTGTGGTTAAACGCACGAGTACGTGGTTTGCTGGACTGAGATCTATACTTGAAGCTCTCCAGCAAGTATGTGCCTCGCACTGTAATGTGGAAATAACCTTGTGGAAAAGCAGCGGCTTTCCAAGAGTGCTTGCGACAGGCAAACAATAGTGGGTAGTTGCTACAGGGAATGCATGAGAAGCTGTTTGGTGTTGATAGTGAGTTGCAAACCCACTCTCCTTATTTCTTTCTTTCTTTTTTTTTTTTTTTTTCTTCTCTCTGCGTACTGTGTACTGAATCGGTGACTTTTCTTCTGCATTGTATGTCGCAGGCCGAGACTGACCGACACCTAAGCCTTCAAGACTTGTGAATATTCTGCAGCTATAAACTGCAAATTATTGACATGCAAAGCGAGACATGACCCCCTCTTCGGGAACAAAAAAGAGGTCTGTTAAGTACCAAGAAGACCTCAGTTATCTGTTTACAGCGTAAACTGCATCGAGGGGATGAAGACCACCAGCAGCATGCTACTTTGCAAAACAAAATAATTTGCCATCTTCTGTTTTTTTTATAATGCCTGTATTAATGTAGAAAGATGTAAAAGAAATAAATTAGGAAATATTTTGTTTTGTACTGCCATTCTTATTGTATTTTTATACTTTTTGGCAGCATTAAATATTTTTTTAAATTGACAATATGCTGTTGTGTGCGCATTGTGTTAGGGAGAAACTGTTAAGAGCCTGTTTTGCAGAGAAAGAAATGTTTTGCCTTAAGGTTTCCTGATATCCTGTCTTAACTGGAAAATGGCAAAATCATTAGAATGTGCTTTATGCAAATATTTTCGTTAATGCTAAGTATTGTAGTTTGAGCTAGGATGAACTCTTGCACATTTCTTTTGTAATACACCACTAAGAATATTATTTTATTAATCTGATCAGTTGGTTTGGTAATCCTTCTGATGTTTGCTATAAAATATGCACAAAATGCTCAGAGTCACACTGTGAAGGAAAAGTCTTCTGTTGTTGATGCTTTAAAGGGAGGAAAAATGGGAAATCTGATGTCTCACTACCCATGGTCATATAAAATTAATGGCTACCGAGGGCCAGGTGCAAAGCGCACAAAGTGAACGGTGTCTTTAATTAAATGGGTTTTGGATTGTGTCATCACAGCGTGTTGTACGAATAATATTTTGCTTCCCATCTCCTGTCAGCGTTCTCCCTGACACGGTCTGAACAGCTGGATTGGAAGGGGGTTAACCGGAATGCTGCTTAAAGGAGTTCTTCTAATGGACTCAACAGGGTTTCCAGCCCTGTACCTTTCATGACAGACCTGACCTAAATTCTGCGCTCAATGACGTTCTCTGATGGTTTCGGATAAACCTTAATTCACTGGAAAACTATCTTCAATAGGACTGTCTAAACTAGTATGTGGTGGGGTTTTATATGTAATTTGTACTTCGCATATTTTTGTAACGGGTTTTTGTACAAATCATACAGTTGCTGAAAGTAAAGCATGGAAGATGGGGGGGAACCTAGGCCAATGAAGGCAATTTTTGCTAGAATAAGCAGCGACCCAAAATCTTAACAGAACTTAGTTTTGAGGCTTGTTTGCAAAAGCAGGCATGCTCAGAGTTGTGTTTACCTTGAATGTGAAGCTGAATCAGGGGAGTACTTAATGCCATTACTTGAGCTAAATATGTGCTTGACACCACCTTGAAGTAGTCCAAATGACCGAAGTCTGGTTTGTCTCAATATTTTAATTTCTTTTGACGGTTAGTATTGTTCCTAGCCTATGTTAGAAGAGCGAACAACATCACAAGTTGATTCAGCTTTTGTTTTCAAGTTGGTGCAGCTGTGAAACCAGGAGTGTTTATAATGAGAGATGAAGGTCTGGCCAAAGCCACTGCAATAAACCCTATTGTTCTTGAATCCAGGAGCAGAGCCTGTTTATGCCACTTGATACAGCTTTGGATACAGCTTTAGATACAGCTTTCTGCCATTCATGCCTTCTGCCTTCAGCTATGATTTATGTTTTCATTATTTTTGTCCTCTTTGAATTGTGAGTAAGCATAAGGTGTATGACTACTGGAAACGTGCATGCGCTTCGGTACTTTACCTGCTGCTGTCACAGATAACTACCAAATACACAACTAACTTGTTTTGCCTTGTGGGGTGTAGGGGGCTGAATGCACTTGGGCTCTCATCGCACAGTGGACTCTTCTAATCAAAGTGCCGATTTCCTTGCTCTTGAATTTTTTTAAATGACTTCCGTCTGCTAAGCTGCCGGACTAAATTTGATGTCGGGCTAACTTGATAAATAGGCATCAAGGGGGGATAAAGACAGAGTATCTTTCTCAAGGAGATAAAGATAGAGTAGTTCCAAAAACAGAGGTTCATTAGGTTTTATTGAGGGCTGCCTTGTGACAGCAGAAGTCTTGGCTCACTGGCCCAGGAACTTCTGACATGTGCATGTGTTTTGTTATTTCTACACAACACCATCATTCTTCCACTCCTGGGAAAACATTAAAAAAAGGTGAAGGAAGGGGAGAGGTTAGAATGATAGACTTTCAGATTTTCAAATGAAAAAGCTTTGATTTCCTAGCTGCCTTTTTTTTTTTTTTTTCCTCCCACCTTCAAGAGAAATGTTGCAGAGGTACTTGTTTTTATTTTTGCTAGCCATCTTGCCACAAGGACAAAACCGCTACCTTGTTCTGCAGCAAGGTTTTTGTGCACAAGAGGGCAGTTAGACAAGGTGGGTGCAAACAGTGGAAGCGGTGGCCTGGGGGAAGCAGGAGGAGCACCAACGCTTGGTCTCGGGACAAGTGGAGGCCAAGGGCAGCTGCTGTCCGTGCTGCTGGGCCACCTGATGCTGCCTGTGGCACCGCTGGCCTGGACCAGCAGAAGCCACCTCCTTGTCCTGATAAAGACTAAAAGGTCCAGAAGAGCCAAACCGCATACCTTTTCCACAGGCAACAGGAAAGGCTTGAGGGTTTCTCTTTTAGAAAGTACTCATAGCACTGAATGCTCCCCTTTTTCCTTCTCCGTGAGGTTTTACCCTGCTGTGCCTTTTAAGAAGGTACTTAGCATCTAATGGCTTATTTAAGAAAAATCTTGCAAGGCAAGTGACGCCACCTTCATTGCTTTTGTCAGGTCCTTCTCTCCCTCAATAATTAATTTCACCTCTTGCTATAGATACACCTCACAGTAGCTTTTTAAAAGCTATAGGAGATCCTTCAGTGTTTAACAATGCTCAGCTCTTGTCTTTTTTTCTCCTCTACTTCTAGGTATGTCTTGCTGGTCACAAGTATAAAAGTATAAAGAGATTATCATCCTCGGGAAGTCTTTCAAGCTGGTCATTCTAATTGACATCTACTTTAACATATGTTGTAAGTTCAGAATCAGCACGCACAGGTCTCTGCAGGACTGGAACGTAGTTAGCTAATGACACGTAGCCATTAGGTACTGAGTGAGGGGTGATGGGGGAGAGGGGAAGAACAGGGAGGAAAAAAGTAAAGCCTGAGAGAGAGTCTTCACCTGTCCAGCACAGAGCCCATCTTCCACCTCGCTTACACCAGTGGTTAACTCCAGTACTTGGGCAGAGTTCCTACAGCACAGGACACCATCTGTCTCAGAAAAAGGGTCTCAGTGACCTCAGGTTTCTGCATGACGGACAATTACAGACCAATTAGATTCCGTCACGCAGCAGCTGGCCTGTGCCTCGCAGCACAAGCGTTGGGAATACGGGAAAGCAAGCATACTCATTTCTCCTGTCTGCCTCACAGCAGCGTGTGCCCTTGTCTCAGTTTTGAATGAGGTTAGTTTTTCCAACTAGTTTTAGGCTTATCAGGCTGGCCTTGTGCTGCGGCCTTTTGTCTGTGTTCCTTGACCGCATCCACATTTTGATTCACTAGCTTATTAGTCTGGATACCTATGGAAATTCCTAAAAATATATTGTGCTTAATTCCCACTTTCCAACCCTAGAACCGCACCATCTTGTATCCATGACCCGCCATCACCTTCTAGTGGTTTCTCCACTCTTATCCCCCTCTCAGTTACATTGCTTGAACTCTGCCATTCCAACACCCACCAGTTCCCTGAGTTTGGAACAGTTCTGGCTTCTCTTCCTCCCCCAACTCACCCAAGTACACCTTACACAGAATCCTTTTCCTGCCCTTTCCTGTTAGTAACACAAGCTGTGTTGGCATTGCACCTGAAGAGGAACCCAAGGAATTGCCACCAGTTTTGAAAGCTCATTACTGCTCCACTACATTTTCTTGTACTTACCGTTCTGCTCCCTATTAGGTTTCTGATTTAAAAAAAAAAAAAAAAAAGAAGGTTCTGTTCCTGTTCTTTTCTTGCTTGCAGCACCTGAGTAATAGCTTCAGTATATTTTTGTGTCTGTAAAACATGTTTCTATCTCACAACTTGCTCTATTAATCAGTATTTAAACTCCGAGAAACTCCTTGCAATTGGGTCATTTTAAAAATGTCACCAATTGCGGCAAAGGTGGTGCCCGAAAGCAGCAGTGTAGCCTCTGTCATGAGAGTTTTGGGTAAGTGCTTAGTGACTGATGTTGCAGCATCAGGTAGTAGATATCACAATTCAGATCCTATTCTTCATTTTTTAAATAATGAGCACTACTCTGGGGAATCTTACCAATTTTTTGTGCCACGGGGCTTATAATTTTTCACAATATGTTAAAAAAGAAAAAAGTTTGTGGCCTGTCTGGAATGGCCAAGGCTTCATCCTCACTATCAGTAAGTCGCTTCCAACCCAAAATTTAGAACAGACTTCTCTGCAGTATAGCCATCAGTGGTGTACTACTCCTTCCTAGTTTAGAGAGCGCTATGGAATCATTTTTCCAACCGTAGATCTCTGATAGCGGTAAATCAAGGTATTTTGCTGGTTAAAACCAGCAGTCCAAACAACAAAGGTAACGTTGCCATATGTTCAGCCTCCTAGCTGGAGGACGCAGTGGTTGGACGCACCCTTGTTCTGAGGATCTGTGTGCTCTGGAGGGAGAGACTACAGCGCAACGCAGAAATCGGGCAAACTCAGGAGATGACAAGGCTGATGCAATTCTGAGAAGGGAGATCATCATAATTTTAGAGAGCGTGGAGAATTTTAGAAGAGCTCCAAGTGATAAAAATCATAAGAACTTTAAGCCTTTTAACTGCTTGCAAATGTTAGATTTCATGCCTCATACTTCTTGTTCATCGCTGAAGAGAGATGCCAGTAGTGGAAAATGGCTCATGACAAAGGTCAGTCAGTCCAATGAATAAGGGCAGAGAATTCTACCAACAAATCTTAACATAATTTTGTATTTTCCATTGCCTGCCTTTCTCACAAATTTACTGCAAGTTTGAGATGAAAAGGTTAAGAAGCTGTAGAAGAGTACCTTGAGGGCAAGGGGGCAGGAAAGCTGCCCTTGCTACTGCTGCTTAACTATGCTGCTTCACTTTTAGGTGAAAATACATCCAAGCGCTACTTTTCAGTTTTCTGAAGGGTCTTGCCATTATGTTACAAACAGGAGCTTACCTGATGCCTTCATATACCACGTATTCTCCGAGTTGGTGCACAAAGAGATTTTCTCCAGCTGCGTCAGTGCAGAAGGAACAGCAGGTGGTAGGGCAGCGTCTTCTCGGAAACCAACATTTCATTCTCGGTTCCCGTTAACCTCCGCAACAGGTTGTCAGTGCAGTGCCTGGCCACGCGCCTGCCCTGCCTTTGAGCGCACAAATCACAAGGGCCTACCAGCACATATCTGTATTAAGAGAGCATTAAAGAATCTTGGTTGACTCTTAATTGCATTGTTTTATTTGCAAAGAGTTGAAAGAACAGAATTTTTAAGATGTTTTCTAAAACTAGTCTTGGTCTTTCTTCAAAAAAAAAAAAAAAGCAGCATCCTAAGACGTTTGTAATACAAGTACTGGTTTAGTCAAAATGACAGCAAAAAAAAATTACTATGAGCTATCTGCGAGAATATTTTCATGGGAAGATATTCTTTATCTGTAATCAGTGATACCTTTATCTGTAATCAGTAAAAGAAGGAAAGAAAAAACAACTCTCATGCCTCTGAATGCTTGGTTTGGGGGTCAAACACTCCCTCGCTGTTGCTTCACAATCCTTGTTTTTCCTCCTCTAGCTTTTTATCGCTGCTTCTCCTTGTTGCAAGCCATACTAATTTTGATTGAAATTCAATCTATTATCACAGCTGCTTTGATTTTGATTAATATAGTCTTACAGTTAAAGACCTTCTGAACTGCCACTGGGCATACATCAGACTGCATCCTGTTTAATACAAGCAATTAATACCATTTTTTCCTAGCTGATTAACTTTCTGTGGATGCCCAAGCAACACTGCTTGCTGCCCAAGTAAGGTTTTACCCTTCAGATTTTTTTAAGTGTGTCATTTCAAAACCACAGAAGTTGACTTCGGTATTTCAGGTTTTTTTAGTACCTTATCTATTTTGCATTTGCGCGATATATTCTGGATCTTGAACAAAGTTGCGTGCTTGCGTCAAACAGCTGCAGCGGGCCCTGTTTGGGCTTGCTATTTCTATGTTGCAAGTTATTTAAACACCAAGCCTTTATGCAAATGAACTCCTTACAATGCAACACACGTACTCCACAACTTGTTTGCAGTACTGAGCATCATTTAGAACACTGGACTGCAGATGGCAGACACGTTTAGTAAGTTCACTGCAGTGTGGCTGAGGCTCACAGGTGTTACACTATCGACACTCGTGAAGGGGCCTAAATGAACCAGTTCATTTGATCTCAAAGGAACTAAATACTTAAATAGAGCCAGCTAAATAAAGCTTATACAATCACCTCATTTAAAAAACAAAAAACAAACCCACCCAAAAACACACCAAAAAAGAACCCTAAGAAACTTAAAAAGCTTGTGCCTGCTGATAATTCCATTTTTTCCTCACACCAACATGCTATGATGGTTGGAAAAATCTCGTGGAGCACCTCCAGTGCATATGTAACTGTTTCCAAATAGCTGTACTCATTGTATAGGTAACACGCAAGCTGTGGCTGAAGAGCTGGCTCTGTGATAGGTACTGTTCCGTACCTTGCAAGTTGGTGGAAAAAAAAAAAAAGACACACGTACCTTCAGGGCTGCTTTACAGTCATTACAAGTGCGATTATCCCAGCCCTGCACAGATGCAGGAATACTCCCATGCTCACCTAGCAGAAGGACTGACACTAAGGTAATGCAGAGGTAGGTGTTCATCTCCTCCTTTCTGAAGAATAATTTTCATCTCAGGAAGCCTTCAAGAAAGAACAGCTGATTTAAAGAGCCATCTTCATCACACTGGTGTTTTTTAAAGGGGGCAGAATACTTAACTTGTGGAGTTCTGTTGGAATCACTGCGCAAACCATTCTACGTTGCAGCTGTCAGTTCAAAGTAGTATTATTACCCACATCCATCCACTCTTCTAAAATAACAGAGTTTATGTTCTAAGATGAGTATGTTTAAACTGCTAGGCCATTCTTCCTTGACCTATTTTCTAGTACGTCAGCAAAACCCCAACTCAAACCAAACATGGTCATTAGACCATGCAGAGGCTTCAGTGCACAGAAGGGAGAACTCAGTATCTCTTGCAGCTTCATTCTAAGGTCAGATTCCAATTTTAGTGGTAAATCTGACCCCACCTGCTGGCTTTCAGGCATAAAGCCCATGATCAGCTTCAACTTCCGACTTCTTAGAAGGTCAGATTCTAATCAAGGAAAATGAATACTCAGTTCCAGATTCAGCAGTGCATAAGAACAAGAAAGTAATTCTCATGATTTACACAGGCCTATGTGCTTAAAGTTAAGAAGTACTCTAAGTATTTACTGGTTCAAGGCAAAAGTTTTCAACCAGGTGCGCAGATTCTGCTTTCCAAACTAATGCACAGCAGCAGCTTACACTCTCGTAACAGTTACCAGATCTCTCTGTGCTCACTACTGTCCAGTTACAGGTGATGCAATTACATTCACAGAGAATCTGAGAATCCATCACAATGCAGAAAGACATCAGAAGAATATTTAGGTCGTTAGTCATTTTCTAAAAATGCAGAATTTTAATAAACTGTATTTGTAACCATGAAATATCACCATGATGAGTTCGCAGCAGGCTGAAACGGTTTAGCCTTCGACTTGCCTACAGAAGCTCAAGCTTCTTGTAAAGCAATGACAAGACCACGAGCCAAAATAAATCTTAATGCTTCGACTAATGTGATCTTTTCAGTCATGTTATTTGGTTCAGCTTCTGGTTGTAGCCTGTATACCAGCTGTATGCAAAGTCGCTTTTTCTTCAGGTAAGTTTCTTTTGGTTCACAATCACAAGCATATCAGTCATTCCCAAACACTTTAAATCTATTCATAGCTTGTTTTTCACACCACAAAACATGGCATCTTCATGAAATGGGGCATCTTCATGCACTACTACTGTAAAAGCTTATTTATATGAGCAAAGGATTACTTTCCATTTCTACATGGTATTTAGAGTTAAGAAGCACTGGTGTTAACACAATTCAAACCTTTAAAGAAACCCAAACACCGCAGATGTAATTAAGTAATGATGAAGTCTATTCAGTTCTCCTAATGCGAGCAGCAGTTAGTTCATGCTCACATTGTTCCACACATATCTAGGTTTGTGACTGACTCAAATACAGTATTCATCTTAAGACTGGCTACATTTTAAGACATTATTTGAATGTATTTGGACATACAATTATATGAAGCATTTGCTCCACATACCAATTCTCCAAGGTTCAGTTTGGCCCTGCATTATACTTCTGCAAAGCAGACTTAAGATTGGGAAACACTTTAATTTGCTATTGTTTTGTGGAAAAAGAATAGTAACTGAACGTTCATTCAAATATTAGTCCTCTGTGACAGGTATTCACTATGATTCTCACCTCACAAACTTTCAAAAACCCAAAAAGTTGATATTGCATCCTTTGGATGATCAGTCACATTCACTGAGCAGTTAGACTGAACTGCTCTTCTTTACCAAAAGGCACAAGTTCTCAAGCAAAGCTGACTACCGAATCTTATGCCTACACCTTTAACAGGTCTCCAGGACTGCTGCTCTTCCTTTCCTCATCATTTGTACTACTGGCTTGATAATACCACAAAAAAAAAAAAATCTATTTAGGAGACTAAATATTTAAAAGCATAGCCTGTATATATGTCATGTCTATTAATTCATAAGTTATGACTTAGAAATTCTAGATTTAAAGTTACTCTTAAATAAGCTGATGTGACCAGGCACTTCCAAAAGATCAAAACTGAACGTGTAGCTTAATAATGTGACAAGTACCATTACAAACATTAAACACCTGAATTGCTTATCACATAACTAGTGTCCCAGAACAAGCTTATAAAATATATAGATACGTGACTGCCTGCTATCAGGGCAATGTTTTAATTCCTTTAGATTTCAGAGTACTGTATTCATCCCTAAATCAGACTAAGACGGCTCATCTACCTAGAAAGCTTGGAAGCATTCTGTCCTTGGAAGCAGAACAGAAATTACACAACAGAAGTAGAGCAGAAAAGATAGGCCAGGCTGCTGTATTGCTTCCAGTCTCCGCAGCTGAAGCTACCACAACAGCAAAGGGAAAAGGCAGCAGAGACGGTCAATTCTGAGCTAAAAAAACAGCAGGAAGGTTTTGAAAAAAAGCCAAGATCCACAGTTGAAATGGAAGAGTAGGGTGTTATCTTCATAAGAAAATCTGTCTGCACATCAATCTCAAGTTCTCAGCGACATTAAGAAGTTGTACCATAAGCTTTTCCGTAGTAATGACACTTAAACAAAGTAAAAGTTTTTTTAAAAAATATTTTATTAGAAAAAAGTTATTCAATAAACAACTGTACAAAACATTTTTTTGGTCAATTTGTGAAAGTTACCTTAATTTCTTTAGCTATCCACATATATGAAAGGAATTATTTTTAAATAAAGAATTTATATACACAACAAATTAAGCTGCTGTTGCTTGGCAATTACTTTGTAATCACCTTCTAAAGGGATGTTTGAGACTGCACACGTGACTTGAAGAATTCAAAACTGATCAGAAGAGCGCAGGTGGAAGACCATTGCCAAAAAGTAAGCGCCAAGAACTCGGTATTTTCCATTGTGGAGAAGTATCTGTGGAATTGTTGTTCTGCAACAAAAACAGAGTAATTCTTTAAGTTTTAAATAATTATGATATAATTCTTTCTCTGGCACATGTATTAAAATAATGGGCAACATTTAAAGTGTCAATATGATTGTGGGTTGCTTTAGAGGAGAGTACTGGAAGATAGAGCTTGATCAAACCTTTATGCAATTTTCCCCCCACAGCTTTGGCTTTTCCGGTGGGGAAATTCCCAGTGAGATTTTAATCAAAAGGTATCGTTAATTTGACATATCCTTGACAACAAAGGGTCAAAACGAACCCCACCCATACATTTTTAAGTTTTCTAAAATTCAGCTGAGTAACATTTTTCATGTTCTGGATTGAAGAAAAAGGAAAATAAAGGATATAAAATGCAAAAGTAAGAACTCTAGATCAAACAGCAACAGCACTTACTTCATTTTTAGTTAGCTGGAGCCATTCATTAAGATAGTTAACAAGAGCAAATGCATCAGGGATGTTGTCCCCTTCTGAGCAGAATTTCAGAAGAACTGCCATTTGGATTCCTTTTGAACAACTGCAACAAAAATGAGCAGGCAATTCTATTTCTTTTCTAAATTCAGAACAATTATATTTATGTATTAAAAGAAACAACAATCTGCATATGGCTTGTTAAAAAAAAAAACCAAACAAAACCAAACAAAAAGTACAAATGTAGGCATATATAGATTTTCTTTTTCCTCTCCAGACTTCCTCGATTGCATTTTCACACTTTGTGTTCTTTTTCTTAGTCTTGAATTTGTTCTTTGCTTTGCGAGGCAGGAATCCTAGGTCATGGAAGAGTTACTCAGGGCCTCTTCTACATACGTAGTTTGCATTTTTGTGCTGGTGGGGCATTTATACAGATTCTTTGATACAATCACTCCTTTTCTTTCTGTGTATTTCAAACAGCAGTTTTTGCAGGCTGCATATCACTACTTTACTCACAATATTCCCATTTTTTCATTTAGATATTAAGATTGGTGTCCTGTATGAAGTAAAACAGAACTGATTTTCTGGGGGCTTTTTTGTTTGTTTTCTTCTTTCTTAAAGTCCTGGCTGGTCTTCTCTTTTGCATTTGTATATTGTTTCCATACTTAAAGACAGTATCAAGGTAAGCATGATATTAGTAACTTTCCTGCTGTTGGATACAGCAGTTTGAACAGATGTCAAAAACAATAGCTAAAAAAATAAAAGTGAATTTTCCACCTGACACTTACAAAACAAGCACCTTCTGCAAAGCTAACACAGTTTCACATAACGAGCGAGTACTACTACCCAAAATTTGAAACTCAGATGTGCTTTTGGCACAACTTCTGATGCACACACCTTTTAACAAAACCCTCACAACCTAATTGTTTGCTGGCCCCAAAATCTTAAGTCATTCTTAATGCTCAGATTTTTATTTTTATTTTATTTACAACTGATGATGGAACTATTTATCACAGGAGACAGTTTTAGTTTAAGTATCACAGGTATGGAAATTTTACTGTTAACAAGTTGTGGTTTGCATAAAATCAGACACCAGATTAATAATGATCTTAACTGTAAAGGCTATATTATTTTTCTTTAGCCCACTCACGTATATTTTTATCATATTTTAACTTTATGATGAAGAATTCCCTATTTTCTGGCATATTATATCCTCTAAATCTGCTCTTAATAATGGGCTTGATCTGGAAGAAGTTCCATTCCTGCAAAACCCTTTTCTATGAAGAGAAGGACTTTTCCTATAACATAGTGGTTTAAAAGATAGTATTATCCATGCACTAAAATCAGGACTTCTGATACCTTTCTGTGCTTATCTTTAGACAACTCACCTCTCAGTAAACAATAGTTTTGTGATGCCACCTCCAGGAATATGTAGAACCTTTTCTGTATCATTTATTCCAGGGTAAGCTGCTACTTTTTCCATTTCTTTCCAGTTTAGCTCCTGCATAAGGCCTCCAACTGCTTTCTCAAAATCAGGTGTAAGTAGGTAGCGCAGTGGTGTCCTACGAACAAATCAAGAATACATTGTCTGACAATAAAAGACACTACTGATGTTGTTACTTGTGACAGAAAGAAGCTGCAAGTATTGAGGACCTCACAGCTGCAATGAAGAACTGCACTGACTTTCCCTTCCTCCTCAAATCAAAGTTAAAAAGTAGTCTGTGGCTTCAAAACAGTATAAACTACTCAACTTTCTGCCGCAAATGCAACTAAGGTACCCTCTTTTTAGTGGCTCAAATAACTGACAAGTACCAGATACTTAAGGACCTAAATAGGATAACTGCTTATGGTTGTTAAAATGATTTACAAATAAAATGTGCTTTTTCTTCCTTCAGATATGAGGTGATTAAATTAAGTTAGTCAAGGTAAACTCAGACTTCACTGTGATACAGCACTTTTAATAAGCTCACACTACAAATATCTGCAGACTTCAGTCAAGTCTAAGTATTTTCTGAATGTACTATCCGCACTCTTTAGCGACTCCGCTATCAGAGTTATTCTGTGGTGCTGGGGAGGTGCAGGTAAATCACCACAACTTATGACTTAGACCACATCAAATAACCATCAGTCCCTTTCATTTCATTCCATGTTAGCTGCCCATTTTGCAACTGTATGAAAATATCACTGGTAACTATATCTGGAACGTGCATAGACCTAAGTCTTCTTTAAGGCCCTAAGCATTTATACAGCCTGAGGATGAGAATTGGTCTTTTACAAAAATACTGATTTTTGTTTGTTTTTGTTAAACCAGCAATTATGATGTCCTCAATCAGCAAGTAATGCTTGTTTTTTAAAGGTGTAATATCTAATAAAAATACATATAGTCTGAACCTTGCAGTTGCCTCCCAACAAATAAGAACTGGTAACTTCCTATAAAAAAAGAATGAAAACTTATTATATTAAAGAAAATCTTCAAAACGCAGAATCATGAAGAAGAGGTAAGAAACTAACCAATATTCTAATTAACAGTTAAAAATCTAGTCTGTGACCTGTATGTTAGCAGCTAATCCCTGACATTGTTGCAGACACAAGAAATTAGGAAGTTAACACTGAGGCTATGTTGCCTGACAGTGCAGACCAAGTGCAGTTTACTTACAGCTTATTATTTGCTCACTACTTTCAACTGTAGTAACTAGCAAATTTCAGAGACTGATCCTGTATAACATAATACTTAATATACTATTAAAACATTTTATGACCTATGTACACAGCAAAGCAAGAGAACCCTGCCAAATGTACACAGTAGAGGGAAATACATCTGTTTGTCAAAAAGAATAGAAACACTAGTTGGGTCTTTCAACGACACAAACATACCCAAGAAGTTGCTCATCATCGCGCTGGTATGCATGGCTGCTAGACAGAAGAATGACTCTGGCACATTTGCTGCTTTTCACCCAAGAAAGGAGCGTTTGACAGAACGGCCTGTACTTGTTCTTTATGCAAAGACAGAGGAAAAAAGTGAAAAATATATAGTGTCCTTCAAAAAAAGCAAAAAGCCAAATACTAGGTGTTACATAGAATGTTTACCAGTGATGTAAATTTTTTCCTCATATCCATTTAGTCTTCAGCTCCAGATATATTTTTTTAAACACAGAGAACTACTTTTAAACGCATATAATGATATCATTAAGACCATGTTAACAACAGCAGTACCACCTGTTTTGTGTGCCATTAATACCAATGGAAAAAGCTTTAGAGTAAGATGGGATGGTAGGATCACAGTATTTTTTCCACACTTTGAACTGATTAAAAACTGCAGCACTTTCTTCTCCCCCTCCCCACGGCGTGGTATTCTGCTTATTTTAAATTACAGTCCCTGTTCAGTTAATAAGTAATGCCAAATTCTTCATTTTTTTACATAATGAATGCAGTTTAAATTAATATAGAACACTATGAAATAATTAAATTGCAGTGACATAAAAAAATAAGCTATTACAATAAAAGACAAACACACAAAGACACTAAGTGTAACAAAAAAAAAGAAATGGACAAAACCTAGGTTGTTTTGTGTTTTGAAGACTGTTGATAACTAAGGAGACATTTACACTAAAATCTACCAACATAGGCGGGCTGTTCTGAGGCTTTGAAAAACAAAACAAAACCTCAGCAAATACAAAAGTCAGTTTCTATTAGCTAAAACTGTATCAAAACTGTATTAGCTATAACTGTGTTATAGCACAAAGTAGAAAAATATTTTGCTCTTCTTCAGTTTGTGGGGTTTTTTCTTTTTTTTTTTTTTTTGTAAACAAAATGTTTTAGAATGTGGCGTATTTCTTCTAGTTTTGCTTATTTAGTCTTAAAATTTACCCAGGCCACTTAAACCATTAGTGAGCAGAACTATTCAAGCTGAATAGTGAAGTAAGAAAAATTAATTAACCAACATACCTTTATAAAGGGTGATCTGATCTGCAGAACTACAAGTTTCTTCGAAGGTAATGAATACACTGCAAGAAGAAATAAGTTTCGTAAGAAGAAAGCAAGAAAGAGATCTGGGTTTAGAAGTATCCAGTTTTATCCAATTTACAAATCTGAGGATAGTAAACCTTTCAGCTATCAATTCATATGGGAAAGCCCAACAATATCCAGAGAATTAAAAATACCTACTTTTGTGCATTGTTTTCATTGGACTTAAATTCACTTGTCATAAATTCAAAGGATTGAATGAAGAAAAATATATGAAGATCTGCCTCCTGTAATGATTCAGATAATCTCTTTATGCAACTTTGCAAAGATTGACAAATTATTCTGAGATTTCCGTGATTTAAGAGGGAGAAAAAGATGAAATGCCGTACGTCAAATTGGTTATCCAAAATAACAAGAGTAATGGTTTCCTGTGTGAAGTGTAAATACTTTCTTAACTGTGTTACTGAAGTCCTTAATTACTGACCTTAGTTTAAACATTGTTCACATAAGAAAAATGTAACAACAAAGAAGTGTAACATTCCTGCACCTATGCAGCTTGCAAATATCTTCAGCATTCAATACCTACCTTCAGCATTTATACTTAGTTCCATTGAGTTTTCTTCTGCTGTTGCATATGGATTATTTCCAACCATTGGCACCAGGCAATCAGTGTAGAAGTAACCGACTTTAGTCATGCCGAGTGTGGAAATCACTAGATCTATTGCCAGTTGACCGACATTTCCCACCGACACTGCTGGCTGAAGTAACAGAAGTTACTGATTCACAGTGTGTTTTATGGACAATACAATATGCTCTTCCAATAGTGAAAGTTTAAATTACTTCAATGCTGGTCAAACGTGACTTCTAAAAGTGGCTGCTCATTCTCTGACAAAGGTGACTATTTCTTAATGGATTACTAAGGTAGACTTTGGTTCCTGTCCCACAAAAAAAAACCTGCCCACTTCTGTGAATAATCCTGTCTCATTGTAAAATTAAACAAAGGCTTGAAAACTTGTCTCCTCCCTGTCTTTTTTTTGGATACAGAGTAGATAAAAGTCACTAAAGGACTAATGCCGAGATTGGCAGGACTCAAGTGACACCTAATGGTAATGTTGATATTACATATTAAGCCTGTAAATCTCAGCTTGGCTCATATGCAAAAGTAGATTGGTTTTCATCTGTGAAGGATGAAAATGCTAAGGGTCATCAATTTCATAACAATTGCCATGGGTTAGGGCAGATACTGACCTAATCTGACGGCACAGAAAGAGAAATTCAAGAGTCTGTGTCCCACAGAAACTGATGCTGGAAGCCAAGAGTAAAACTTTCGGTTGCTTCCCTCTAATTTATGAGTAAGTCCGTGTCTACAATTTTCTGCTGCTACTAGTTCTGGAAACACACCGAATTTTATGCTAAGAAGCTCACAGTGAAAGAGTACGTTACAGAACCTACAGAGTGTCACTACAAACTGGCTGGTACTCCCAGTCAAAGAAAACAGCAGTGATCTATTTCCTGTGGCTAGTCAGCTGATCTGCAATGACTTCCCGTGCAGCCTGCAGAGTCATCCCAGGCTGTGCAGCGCTCGATGAAAGGTGATAAAGTTACCTTTAACTAACACAGTGAAGGGACTCACTGAAGGGAAAAATAATGGTTTGCTACTTTGCAGCCTGCACTGGAACTCTTACCCCACGATAATCAATGTAACCCTGAGGTAGGTTATCTTAAATTTATTTCATACCATATATGAAGATCATTAAAACACTTCCTAAAACAATCCTAAGCGGAGTTTAAATATAGCACAAACGAGGCAATTTTCGTTAAAAACATTTATATAGAGCATCTAAATGAAAAAAATAACCCTTTATTCCAGTGCCAACCCACAGATACTGCAAGTTTTGTAAGACGACATGTGGTGTTTTAATCTTAGGGCGAAAGCTTATAGCTATAGCTCAGCACATAACGCTTAGCTTGACAAGAGCGGAAAACGGGGGATTAAGGAGAGGAAAACTGACGGAAATGGAAGAAGTTTAAGAGACCTTAAACCTTTAAGGTCTGCTGGAAACAGCTCCCGGAGCGACCCCTGCAAATTCCCCTCTTTTACTCGGCAAAACACCCGATACACACACGGGCACAGCAACCGCCCGCCCAGCGCCTCTCCGCTTTCCCGCAGAGGAGTACCCAGGGACGTCCCCCCGGCAGGGGAGAGGGAGAAGAGAAAGAGACCAAAGCGCCCCGGCCCTCCAGCCCCATAAGAGCCAGGGAGACAAGCCTCTGCCCACACCCCCCAGGGCGGAGAAAAGCCCTCAGCCCCCGGGCCCCGAGAAGCGCCACGTCCCTCTCCGGCACACGTAGATCCCGTTGGGGCAGCCACCCCCTCAAGCCCACGGCGGGCGAGGTGGAAGCAGGAGCGCGACCTACCATCAGCAGAGTGAAGCCTTTAAAGTCGGATCCGGCGGAGCCCGTGTTTCATTTTTGTAAAAAGCAAACAAAAAACCCAAGAGGGTTTTTCCTTTTGTTCTTCTAATTAGCTGAATTCCAAATAGTAAACAATATCATGAGGGTTGTGTCTCTTCTCTTGTTTAACATACGTATCACAGTAAGGAAGGAGGACCCAAACCAGCGTATGTTATGTTGTTTATACAGTCTATTATATTTGAAAAATAGCAGTTCTGTTTCCTAATAGCTGACTTAATGTCAGGAAAATGGAATTGGTGCCACCAGCAGCTGGTCAAGGTGGGGGCGCCTCCGCGGTACAGCGATTTCTCCTGCCAGGGGAAGCCCCGGGGTGGGCGGGGGGAGAAATACATACACGGGACACCGACCCGCCCGGCTTCGTTGCTTCCCGTGTCGGCGGTGCGGACCCCCGGCCCTTGGTGACAGCAGTGCCCGTCGAGGTGCTCGCTCCCTGTCCACTCCCTCGCCCTGCTTTGGTTTTCCTCCTTCGGCCGCTTCAGATGGTTTCCAGGCGCTGTTTTCCCTTACGGCGTTTAGTGCCCCCTCCCGGGAGGGCCGGCGCCGGTCCGCGCTCTTGTCTAACCACTCCCCCGGCTTTGCGGCCTTTTCCCCGCCGTCTCCCGCCGCCCCCTCTCCTCGCCCTCATCTCTTTCCTGGGCTGCGGAGAGATGGAGCTGAGGCCCCGGCCGTCCTGCCCGCTCCCCCGGTGTCGCTGCCCCGTTCAGGGCAGGGAGAGAGAACAGCAGCGGTGTCGGCCGAGGGCGGGCGGGGCCGCGGGGGCGAGGCCCGAGGCTCTGATGAGGCACTGAGCATCCTGAGACTGAGGCTTTTTTGTTGTGGTGGTGGTGGTTTGGGGTTGTGGTTTATTTATTTATTTATTTTGCTTGTTGCTTTTTTGAGCGAGGTTCTTGGACTGATGGGGAAATAAATACGAATGCTTTAACTCATATATCGCAAAGCATTTGAAGTCCCAGTGGCTGTCGCCTTAACATCCTCCCTGTGTGAGAAACAGCTTTACAAATCCATGCAGTTTCACTGCTGAGATGAAGGGCAGAAGCTCTCCGACTTCCCTTTGAGCATAGGGGAAGCTTGCAATGGAGGCACTGCTTTTGTGCCTTACCTACATGTATATAAAGGTGTACTTTCCCCCTTGAAAAATAACAAACTATTATCAGAAGTTTCAATTTTGAGGGAGACAAGAAATTAAAACAGTGACCATTTTATAATTGATGGATTTGCAGGCTTTTTTGTAAGGAGGGAAGTGCAAGGCAGGGGATGCTGTCCAGAACAGTGAAAATGCTCCAGTTTGGTTTGTTCATGATTTTTTTTAACTGGTAGAGCTTTGGTTAGATAGTGACTTGCTTGATTAGTTCTGAAAGGATAAATATTTTGGTGTAGTTATTTCTATGTTCCTAGGAGAATACCTTTAGTCTTATAGAGTGACTGTTTAGTCATAGCTACTACCATATAAAGAGCTTGTACTTGTAGCGTATGGCGAAATTTTCTTTCAGATGGATGTCCATGGCAGGATAAGAGAAGTTCTTGCTGAAACTATACGTGAAGAGTTAGCACCTGAGCATCAGCAGTTATCTACAGAAGATCTGATAAAAGCCTTAAGACAACGAGGAATAATTGATGATGTTATGAAGGAACTTAAATTTGTAACTGTAAGTAGCTTTTGAAGAGTGAAAATATTTTTGCTTATTCCTTTTACTGACTCAGTGTTTTGACAAAGTGAAAACTTGCTACTTCAAAGGTTTTTAATTGCTTTACTGATTTGTGATGTATTAGGAGCAGAACAGCTTAATAAATATGCTGAAATTGGTTTAATGATAATACTACATTGAAAGTATTTGTTCAGTTTCGTTATGTCTCAAGTACTAGAAGGGAGCATACCTGAGGAATGGCATTCAGCTGAAGTGGAGGATTCTTTAATAGAGAGTGGTAAGAGCATTGTTGCATCCCTCGATGCCTTAAAAAGTCTTAATTGTAATTCCAGGATGTGAATGAAAAGGAGAGGACTTCAGCTCCAAAACCATCAACACATTTTGTTGACAGAGAACCACCAGTTTTGAAAAAAAGTATGTTGCTTGTTTATTTTAATGTTTCGATCATAGTTGTGAGAGAAGTGTATGATTTTTTAACTCTGAATTGGTAACTCAGTATGAACAGATGTAAAGGTGGATGTTTTTCCTGCTTATCTACAGGAAGTAAATTCGTGTAAGCAGCAGAAATTAGTGTTGCGTAAAATATGACTTTTTTAAACCCTTAATTAATTGTACATTAAGATAACTTTCATACATTTCAAAATCACTTTCTCCTAAGCACTTATTTCAAAAATGTTTCTTTTTTTCTAGTCTCCTGTTAGTTAACTGATATTTAATGTGCTTCCTAAGATCTGTTTGTAGTGTCTTCATTTTTATTGCTACGCTTTACAGCTAACATTGACCCAACACGGAGGTATCTTTACCTTCAGGTTTTGGGTGGAAAAGCTTTTCTGGAACATCTTCAGGAACCAGAGCCTCTGCCTGGCCAAATCTGTTCTACCTTCACTCTGTGTTTACATTTTCGAAATCAGCGCTTCCGTTCTAAACCTGTCCCGTGTGCCTGTGAGCCAGATTTTCATGATGGTTTTCTACTTGAAGTACACAAGGACAGCCTAGGTAAGGAATATTGTGGGTTTAAAGCTGATGCTATTGGGTTTTTTTCTGACTTCAGAGTTATTGTGAAATATGTTTGATATTTTTTAGTGGCTTTCTTTACTATGTTTTATCACGTTTTCCTAAGGAAACTGATTACTGTATTAGGTTATGCCACTTGTAGATCTTTCTCTACTCTTGCCTCTTCTTTTCCACTTTAAAATAACTTTTGAATTTGACCAACCGTATCCATAACTGACAGTGAGATGATAGTCTCGCCTAAGTATGGTAAGAGTTACTAAGGTGGCTGTGATTTTCATGAACTTTGTGCTGGCAAGTGAAGAAGGGAAATGTAAATTTGTCATCATATGGGAGGAAAAACTTCACTGTAAGTTCGGTTTGCTTACCAGTTGGCAAACACCTGCAGAAGAGTCAGCCATCCACAGCCTGTATTACCCTTCTTCTGTTGGTAGCCAGGGAATGTGGTAGGAGCCAAGCGTGTTATGAAAAGACTTCTGGATATTGTCTGAGTCCTGTAGAAATCCAGGGTAGCCTCTGGAATATCAGGGAACAGTGAGAAAGCCAGAGTTACTGCAGTTGGACTTGGGGAAGGAAAACCAGACTTTGTTAGTTCTCTTGCACATGGAGTGGTTTATATCATAGGGTCAAGCTTAACTACAGAGAAAGTTGTTTCCTGAATACTGATATATAGTAAGTTGACTTGACACATTCTGAGTTACTAAAAGAATATTTTTCAATTGCTTTTACTTAATGGTGCTTTAAGATTCTTTATTTTCTTAAATGCTAATTCCATTTTCATTTTTGTGCAGTTGAACCAGTTACATTGGAGTACTCAACTATAGGAATGTTTTTATCTCCTCTGTAAATTAACTGTAATCTTTCTGTAGCTCTGTCCTAAGCTAAGTTTGATATTAAGATGGGATCATTGTTTACACTTCTGAATGTGAGATTTTTCTTAAAATGCAATGAATGTAAATGCATACTCTTTTTTATTTTTTGAGGAGGACTTGGGATGATAATATTCTTGCTGTCTTATCTTGGTTTAATAATGGCAGGTGATGGAAGTAAAATGGTGGATGCAACCACTATGTTATCTATATGTGATCCAGTACATGTGGTTCTGATCAAAACAGACACATTTGGTGAGACGACACTAGTAGCATCCCATTTCTTGGAGTGGCGATCTGTCTTGGCTGCAGAGAATGGCATAACAAATGTTGCTGTTGAACTCCTGGGTGTAGGTAAGGATAAATAATAAGGCTGTAATGATGACTTAAAATACTGGGTACTGAGCTTGCTTACAAGCTTAAAGCAGTATTTATGATGTAGTTTAATTTAGGTCAACTCATATATTACTATAAAAGTATTCTTAGAAAATGCGTAGGAGGCTAATGGTTAGATTTTTTTGTTACCAAAGTACTACAAATGTATATTCCACATCCTGTGTAGTAGTGGTCTCCGTGTCTGGGAACTCTTACTACTGATTTTCTGCAAAATCCGGATAAGTTATCAAAACCAAACCAAACAAAAATCAACCAATTAATCTCCAGGAGTATATCAGACCAGTGCACTGAAGAGTAAAATCTAGCTTGTGTCCCTTTCATAGCAAACTAGCAACTGCTGGAGAAAGTGATCTCTGCTGTGCTGCCATTTATTCCAGTAGCTAGAAGCATGTTTTCTGACAGAAGGGCTGAACAGCTTTGTCTCGGTGCTTAACAGTTAGTATACATGTGTATTTTTGTTATCACTTGTCCCCACTCCCCTGTTTAGGAGTTCCAACCTAAGTTTTTAGGATATTATGGTTTAGTGGATAAAGATTAGATCTAGGACTCAATCTGTCACGAATTCCTGCATTGCACTAGCTATCCCAGAGTTTGGTGAACTAGTAGCTGATGAGTCATTTGAGTATTCTTTATCGCAGTTTCTCTACCTGTTAGGTAGGCGAATAGTTCTTGATAGTTTCAAAAGAGATTAAATTACACCTTCAAAATATTTTGAAGATTGGATATACTATGTAAGTTACTCCTGATTGTTTTGTAAGTTACTCCTGATTGCCTGCCTTTTTTTGGGGGGTGCGGTGTTTTATCCAGCGAACACAAATCCAGTAAGCTTTACTTGCTAATATGTTTGTTAGCTTCATTTCCTTCTGAAAATGCTGACTGAGGCCAAAACTTTAGTAAGCAATATGGGTTTGGGTAGTCTCTCAAATAGAGAGCTTTTTATTTAATAACTTGGAAATGCATAACAAATAAGTTTAATACTCAAATGGGTGATAGGAGGAGTTAAATCTAATTATCGTTAGCTTTTTTTCAGGTAATAAAGGATCAATCTAGTAAATCCAATGTTTTTTCT